TAAAGGGGAAGTGAGTACAGCAAAGATCTAGAGGTATGTGCAGAAGCGAAGCACGAGAAAGTGCAGATGCGCGCAAGGCACGGGAACATGCGCGCAAGGCGCGGGAACACGCGTGCGCGCATAAACGGGAACAATAGAGAGACTACACTTAAGTGATAATATGATGCAATATAAGAAAAAGAGAGAGATGCAAAGTGTAGACAAATAGACTTCTACTATGCTCTGCTAAGTAAATAGTGGGTGGTAACTAGTAAGTTAAAGGGAAAGTAAGTCAAAAGTCCAGTCCCCAATGGTATGTACTGCTGGCGCTTATATAGCACGCCTAAGCATGGTCATGCGGAGCCGAGGTGCTACTGAGTAGGTATGTAAAGATATATATGTGTGAGAGTCCATGATAAAAATAAAGACGGAACAATATGCAATGAGAGAAATAGAAATATACGCACTAGAGAACTTGGTGGAGAGTGGATGGATGCATCTGGATAGCTGGCGCCATAGGGCGCTCAAGTGCGGGAATGCACACGCGCGTATACATCGCGAAGCGTGGGAAGTCACGCGTGCATGGCGTGCGTTGCGCGGGAAAGCTGCGCCTCATATAGGAATCACTGCAGATAGCACACAGAATGATGCTGCAAGTTTGTGCTGTATACTTCCTAGTGAAACCTGCCATATCACACCATGAGAGGCATGATTCTCTACACCGTCGTACTCACATTGCTCAGTAAGTTTTTTCTCAAGTATGTTTGAGTCACGCTAATCATCTGACTAGCCATCCAAACTGCCACTTTCCGATATACAAGAGTCGCTGCGAGGAGAAAGGTATCATCATGCATCCACGTGCTATTCCCATGAATGTCAAGGTATCTGATGGAGGGCAGCGAACTCTTGATCGTGCCCTTGTCCCAAAGCCACCTCAATTTTCGAAGTCAGGCCTTATTGACTATGTCGTAGAGCTCATTGTTGCTGAGGATGAGGTTTGCAATTTTGGTTATTTGTTTCATGTACACATCCTCACACAATTGCAGGCATTTCAACTTGTTGACAAAGGACCATTTTGCTGCCTCCTTCAATACCTTCGGCCAAGTCTTTCAGATCAAGATATTCCGCACCGCACTAAGACACGGGACGAGATTCTCGAGAGAGCAAAACTTGCTGTTGAACGAGTCAAAGACAAACTAGCAGTAAGTGTTAATTGTGATTGTCTACTTTTCACTCATTATGATTGTCTTAGCATGTCGACAGCAAGATTTTAATGACGTTCAACTCATGGACATCTGAACCAGGCGACCCATTCCTTTCTGTCACAGCACATTATATCGACTCACCTGCCGACAAGCCTCAGGAGTGGCAGCTTAAGATGGAACAACTTGCTTTTAGGCCCATCGAGGGTAACCACAGCGGTGCCAACATTGGTGGCATCTTGATCGAAGTCATTGATAACTATGATATACGCAAAAGGTGAGCATTGATGTTGTTGTACTTACTGTTTATCTAATTGTTCAATCATAGGTTGGCTGGTTCACAGCTGACAATGCTACAAATAATGATACCGCTATTCGAACCATTGCGAAGGCTATTGACCCTTCTGGTATTGACTGGGACCCAGTTGAACATCATGTCTGTTGTATGGAACATGCCCTGCATCTCGCAGCAAAGCATTTCGTTGAGAGAGTTGCTCCGACATCAACCAGTGCTTTACTCAAGAAGACAGCAGAAGATGATGACGACGATTATGAGGAGACTGATTTTGACATTGCCGATATGGTCGGTAAAGCTCTTTCACTGGTCACACAAATACGAAAGTCCCCGCAAGCTCGTTTTTTCTTTAAGAAGTGCTGTGCTGAGGTTGACGTTCCCACTCTCGAACTCCTCAAATGGATTCGAACACGTTGGGCATCACTCTTCAAAATGCTCAAGCGGGTGATCGACTTACGCAAGGTTTGTTGTATCTTTTGAAATGTTTTGTTCTATTTAATTGATTTGAATTTACAGGGAGTGAACAGGTTCACGCAGCTTGCTGATGACAGTGAAGAAGTCCCCAATTTACAAGGGAAAACATATTCAGCATTCAAGCTCATGCAACAAGAGTGGCTGAAGTTAGAATTGATTTGAGACGTGCTGCAGGTCAGTTCCTTTAACTGTCTTTCTCACCTTCCCTATTAACTAGCACAACACTGTGCAGGAGCCTGCCAATGCTCAACAGACTTTCTCAGCCACTCGGGAGCCTACAGTCTGGCGCACCATTCCTGTTCTCTAATATCTTCAAGAGACTTGGGAAAGCATGGCTTGCACATCAAAATTCGACAGCCTTTCAACATCCATCGTATCCGGTCTTGACAATCTTCGTAAGTGGTATCAAAAGACAAATGACACAGATGTCTATTTTATCTGCCTTGGTACGTACCCTGTTCGTAATTCACATGTTCTTGTTTTGATGGGACTCTTACTTTCATGTAGCCCTTGACCCCAACTATAAACTTGCCTATGCTAAGGCAAAATGGGCGTCTCAAGACTTTGCTGATGGTGTGAAACGGCTCGAAGATGTAGTAAGTCAACGAATCTCTTAATAAATTGTCTTCACACTAACTTAGTATCTAGTTTGATAAGTATTATCGCGCCCCTCCTTCATCTACCATGGCAACACATTCTGCTATTGTACCATCCCTCTCACGCCAAAGTTCATATGGCCATAGCTGGATGCGCGATGCAATCAAAGCTTGTGTCTCCCATGATGCAGCTCATCAAAGGCCTCATCAGGAACTCGAGGATTATCTAGCTGCGCCACTGGAGGATGTCGAAAATGTAGTAGCATGGTGGGGTGTAAGTTCACTTCACTCATCCTTGATATTCTGTGCAAGCTGACAATTATTTCTTCAAAGCATCACTCTATTCAATATCCTACGATGGCTCGCATCGCAAAAGACTACCTCGCCATTCAGGGGTCTGCAGTTCCATCTGAACGAGCATTTTCAAGTGGCAGCATCACTGGGACCACTCGTCGTAACTCCCTGCTGCCAAGGACATTCGAGGCACTTCAACTGTTGAAGAGCGCTGTAGAAACAACAATACTACTAGGAACAAATGATGCTCCTGGCAGTATCTATAAATGTTGATAGGTCGCGCGTTGCCTAGTCTGCGTTGCTTGAGGAGACAAGTGCGTTCGACCCTAAAGGGGAGGTGAGTACAGCAAAGATCTAGAGGTATGCGCGGCAACGCGAAGCGCGAGAAAGCGCAGGTGCGCGCAAGGTACGAAGGCGCGGGAAAGCGCGCGCGCAAGGCGCGAAAATGCGTAACTAAAAATTGGTTAGCTTTTTGAATTTGCAAAGAAATTGACCTTATATGCGCGAATTGGTGTGAAGTGCGAAGATGCACTGAACTAGATCTTGCTGACTGCTCCCCTCGCGGTGGGCTCCAGTTGTAGAAACAACAATACTACTAGGAACAAATGATGCTCCTGGCAGTATCTATAAATGTTGATAGGTCGCGCGTTGCCTAGTCTGCGTTGCTTGAGGAGACAAGTGCGTTCGACCCTATAGGGGAAGTGAGTGCAGCAAGGATCTAGAAGTGTGCGCTTAAGCGAAGCGCGAGAAAGCGCAGGAGCACGCAAGGTACAAAGGCGCGGGAACGCGCGCGCGTATTAGCGCGAAGCGCGGGAAAGTGTGCGCGCGTATGCGGAAATGAGAAACTAAGCTTAAGTAGTGATATAAAGCAAGATAAGAGATATAAGAGTGCAAAATGTAAAGGAATAGCTTTCTACTATATTCTGCTAAGTAGTAAGTGGGTAGTAACTAGTAAGTGAAAAGTAGGAAAAGTAGGTCAGTAATAGTATGTACTGCTGGCGCTTATATAGCGCGCCTAAGCGCGGTCAAGCGGAGCCGAAGCGCTACCGAGTAGGTATGTAAATATATATATGAGTGAGAATGCATGATAAAAATAAAGGTGGAACTATGCTAATAAAGGAAATGGAAATATACGCACTAGGGAGCTTGGTGGACAGTGGATGGATGCTTCTGGATGGCTGGCGCCATAGGGCGCGCAAGCGCGGGAACGCGCGCGCGCGTATACATCGCGAAGCGCGGGAATGGTGCGCGCATGGCGCGCATTGCGTGGGAAAGCTGCGCCTCATATAGATATAGCTGCGGGTAGCGCACAGAGTAATGCTATGAGTTCGTGCTGTATACTCCTTGGTGAAAACTACCATATCACGCCATGAGAGGCATGATTCTCTACAGCGCATACTGTGAAGGCCATATCTCAGCAATGGTCCAGGCTGAGCTCATTGCTCCTCAAGATGTTGTTGAATAGTCGATCATACTAGCCTACAATTGTTTGTATATCGCTTGGTAAATTTTGCAAAATATTATGTCGTGTTCGGCGGTTCAAACTGGTCCAAACCTGAACCTGACCATTGTGAACCCGTTTGAAGTGGTCCGGCCCAGAGTCCACCCTACCTGTGTGAACTTGACCAAGTTTTGGTTCTTGGTCCTCAGTTATCTTGAAAAAACCGGACGGAACCGAACTTCAGCAGCACTAGTTGTCAATACAAAGCGATTATGCAGTCTGCCTCCCATGAAACTTGGTGATACTTTAAGCACCACATGGTACTGAGTCAACTTTAACGCAAACTCTTTCTTCATCAACCAAGGTAACGGGCCTATAATAAAATAAGCCAAACGGTAAGAATTCTGCGTTGGAAACTCACTGTTGTTGTGGGACTTCTCCTCTCTGTCTGCAATGGCATCCTCAATATCTTCTGCATTGTTAGCAACCCAGGGGTTGTACGTCCGGTTGGGCCAGATGGGGTCCATACTGGAATTGGATGGGACTACAGGGTCAGGTGGAGGGGTCTTGCTTCGACATGGCGGCATTAGGTACGATCTCCTCTGCACATCGCAGAAAGAGATCATGTCCAGTCCTTCGAGTATCAAACCATTTAACCTCATTCCGTACCTTAAACAGTCGTGAATAAAGATCAAAAAATCAATATGCAGTGTAGTTACCTAGTAACAACCTCCTCGTGTTTGACTGTGATACGTGCTTGCCCATGCACCAAAATGGAGCAAGTATCCTGAGAAAGTTGGTATGGCTCGATAACCTTTTCGTGAACCTCCAATAATGAAGACTTCTTGCCCAATGATGTTGTTGAATGAATCCAGGTTCGCATTCGATACTTTCATGACAAATTTGATAGGGACGTTGACCTGTCATAACTCAGAGACATTCCATTTGAGGGGAATGACACTTACGAGTGAGTAATTGCCCTCGGATATCAGAGTCAGGTGTGCGTTTGGAAAGTCCACAGTTTGCACAACCCCTTTTGTCTGGAACTCTGGCCCATGGGCAACAGTCACAACGTCTCCGGGCTTAACATTGTAACCCTTTTCCTTGGTAAATTGGAGAGTCTTGGGGGAATGAATCTGCCGTACAAGGGCTGCAGGTACGTTGATCAGCTGGTCCTTGATATTGCCTCCAGCCTGGAACCACAACATGGTTGCTCCCATAGGAAACCACACTACAATCCTGCATTTCCCCATGTTATCTCCCACACACACTTCTGTTTTGTCTCCGATTTAAAGAGATTCTGGCTGGGGGAGAGGGTTGAAATCTGGCTGCATCAGCAGCTGGGATTGAAGCATGTGAGTTAAGGGACGTCGATCTAAGTAGTACTTCGATACTTCCACCTATGCAATGTCAGACAGGCTTACAGGATGTTCTATTTACTCGTACCTCTTCATTGGTAGCCTCTTGACACACGTGAAACAAGTCCTCAGACTTTTTAACGATATACCCTTCCAGACCTGTGTAAGCGCCCGCTACGACTCGAACTGTGTCGCTGACCCAAAAGACATGCTCGATGTCCTGGAGTCGAAATTCCAGTTCTTGTCGGTGTTCATCCAGGGTGAACTCTAAGCATGTGGAGCCAGATGCATGGTCTGTTGAGACAACGGTGCCAATTTCTGAATGGACTTCTCCTGTGATAGGCCTGGCTGAGTCACCTGCACGCAGGAATTGGAGTGAAAAGGCCACCAGAGTTTTCTTGAAGAAAGCTACATCCCACCCATATTGCAGATGTAGTCGAATATTGTTAGCATGAGGGGAGGCGACTAGCTCTAGGCTGTCGCGATGAAAGTTTTTCAGTAAAAGCCCCATGTAGTACTGCTCTCCTTTATAAGACCATCCTACAACTTTGTCATCCTGAAGGATATCGGACACTGTCTTGTCATTCGGGAGGCGAGCTCGGTCAAGAAGCGCCACAGATCTGTCAGGCATATCATAAGGGAAGTCGCATGGGGGAATTAACAATGTGACAAAGTCATTCAATTGTTTGGAATCGAAGACATAACTGATGTTGCCCTTATACTTCCCCTGAGTGATTTTCACCCACCCGGGGTTGGGAAGTGTGAAGCGCGAACGTTCAACCGCTGCTTGTTCTTCCTCCGAGATGTAAGTATAATCTTTCACAGAGGAAGAGAGCAATTCAAGCGATGTCGCTGTAGAGACTCGCACGTCTCAATGCTGAGTATCCGGCCTTTACCCATACATTCCTATATGATACAGCTCTAACACAAAGGACCAGTCTCACGCGCACCTTATCCATACTCGCCCTGTCATGCATGGTATGTGATTCATACCATGTCAGATATATATAGAGAGTGATAAGGAAGATATGAGAGACTGTCTAGCCCTCTGTCACTAAGTCACCTCTCTATTTTTCCTTTATTTCATTGTCTTGTATTTTATTTCTCACTTTTTCAGGCTTATTTTACCTTGTATTTGTATCAAGCATGTGACCTTCTGTTTATTTCTCATTGTTTATTTTTATTTGGCTTCTTTCAGCCACCAAGTTTTGTATCTCTATTTATTTCTGACTGTTTATTTTTATTTGGCTTCTTTCAGCCACCAGATTTTATTTGTCATCACATCATGTGACTGGGAAATATTCTGGTTTGTAACATTATTTAAGCTGACTCAACATGTTTAGTCATGATTGGTCATGCTTTGTAACAACATTTAACATGACTCAACATGTTTAGTCATGGTTTGTCATGGTTTGTAATTTCTTTGTAAGATTACACTGTATTTGTAATATACTTAGTAATAAGCTGATTCATCACCTGGTTTGTAAGCCACATTCTTACCAATCCATCTGATTAATCATGCTTAGTAAGGGGGTTCCCAAAAGGTATAAAAGGACCCCATTTTCACCCATGAAATACAAGCCTCCCACTTGACTCTTATCTCAAACCATGTGAGACCACTAAGACTTAAAGTGCAGGCCAATATAAGTGCCTTGAGGTAATCTAAGATATCATTATCTATCCTAAAGTTATATACTACCTTACAGGGGGTCGACTATATAACTTTTGTTATCGTTATTCTACTCTAGGTTATATACTACCTTACAGGGGTTGACTATATAACCATTGAACAGCTCTCATTCTAAGCTTTATGTGTATTCATAAGACTCTCTCTTTCAATGGAAAGTGAGACACATCTAAGGATGACAAAGTTGAAACAGACTTTCGTAGGTTGAAACACGACATACTAGGCTGAAACAAACCTAACAAATTTATCCAGAACACAGAACATTCCACAACAACTTTGTATAAGACTACACAAGAAGAGGACAACAAACTAAATCCTCCCAAGAACTCACCACATTACTTCCCACAAAGTAGAAAAGTCGGAGACCGTGGATTTAAGGACTGGCAAGAAGTCTTCACCGTGTATAATTGTGTTGTCATTATACACAACTTTCATATAAGACCCTTAAGTAACAAGACATCACTGGAGCCCACCGCGAGGGAGGCTTCTTCTTGTACCAAACATAACACAACAATCATAAACAAAGCACACTTCATATAATTCATTCCACCCACACAACAAAACATCAACAAACATATTTAAACACAACAAAGAAATCACAACAATCATAAACAAAGCCATACTTTGTATAAATCACTCCACACACACATCACAACATCAACAATTGTATCAATGCAATACAAACAAAGGTCAAACATGACTACACGATCCATATTAACATTACCTAACCCTGGAACTAAGGCAGCACCTGCCAAATTCAAGGGTGGATTTTCAGAAGTCAAGGACTTTCTGAAACACTATGAAAAACTGTGTGATTATCACAATGTAACCTCTGATGAGGAGAAATGTGAATCTATTACCCAGTACATGTCCCGTCACGTAACAGAATTTGTAGAGGGACTACCGAGCTTCAGATCTAATAATTGGGGCAAACTCAAGGCTGACATTCTGAAGTATTATGATGCAGACCTTGACACGAAGCGATATAGAGGCAAAGATTTATTGTCCTATGTAAGGACAACACGAGGAAAGAAAATCCCTACACTCACAGCTTGGAAGAAGTATGTGAGAGGGTTTATTCATATTGCAGGATGGCTTGAACAAGCCAAGAAATTAACAAGTGAAGAATATGCAAGTTACTTCTGGGAGGGGATTTATAAGAAACTCCGTATCAAAATTGAAACACGCCTCATGGCCAAGGATCCAGACAGAGATCTATCTGAAGCCTTCCCAGTAGACCGAGTTGTCGCAATAGCAGAGAAATTGTTACACCGCGACTGGTTTGATGCAGACCTATTAGTTTCTGAAGTAGAAACTGAGTCCGAAACAGACTCCTCTACTGAAGAAAACTCTGATGCTAATACAGACTCAGAGTCTAGTGAATCTGAAACCGATGAAGGTACAACAATTCAGATGGTGAGTCTGAACAATGTTGGGTCTTGCAGAACCTAGCTGCTATTCGACCCTAAAGGGTTTCTGGACCAGGCTCAAGGCTCAGAGTAGAGGAAATATCATCAAAACTTGCTGATCTCTCAGACTCATACTGGTAACTGGTGAAAAGATTGATTGCTTATGTAAGCTACAAAAGTGCCAACATAAGGTAAGGTAAAAACAGTCTCTACAAGCCCAGCCAGAAATGAATCCCTACACCGAGTTTTTTCGTAAGAAGAAGAAGGCCCCAGAGCCAAAAGATAAGAAAGAAGTAAAGAAAGCTCAAAAGAAAGCGAAAGGACATGTCAAGGAAGCCAAGACTAAGACTTCCTCAAAAGATACTAAGAGTCCTAGTATCACTTCACCAGAACCTATGGATGAAATGGAGGGACTCATCAAGAGACTCAATGCAATCTCACTCGATGATCCGGACTATGCTTTGTATTACTACAGGGCAACACAAATTGATCCTTCTATCAAAGAAATGATAGCAGCCCCTATTTTGAAAAGAGGTAATGCTACCCAAGGAGAATATAAGCCTTACAACAATCAGAATGGACAAAATAATGTAAGGCAAAACAGTAACACCAATCAGACATTCAGAGGACCACAACCAGGTACTAGGTTCTATCACCCACCGAACACCCCTTTTAACGAACGAACATGCTTTGGTTGTGGTGAAAAGGGACATGGAATTCCAATGTGTCCACAAATCAATAAACTAATCGCTGATGGTAAACTACAGCGTACACACCGTGGACAAATAGGAAAACCAGATGGAAGAGCTGTAAGACGGCTACCTGAAGAAACAATTATTGAAGCACTAAAGCGAGAGGACAGTGTGCCAGTAGCTCACTTTATCAAAGTGAATAGCGGAGACACACAAACCTATAGTGCAAATAAGCAAAATAAAATTCAAGAGACTAGGACCACATACATCGAAGAGTATGTGAGTTCTGATAGCAAAAATAGTGACACGGATGATTCAATCAACCAGTCTGAGGAAACTGAAGAAGAAGAAAGTGATACAGATGAAGAAACATATGCATTCCCGGTTGAAAGAGTCACATGAAACTCCACACAAGGAAGACATGAAAGGTTCCAGGAGGTATTCCCTCCAGGTCAAAGCAAAACTCTAAGGAAACCAAGCGAAAAAGATAAAGGGAAAGATAAAGTTCCCACTACTCAAGCCAAGAAGGCTGATACTCATACCAAACCTAAGTCCACACAACCTGTTTCACCCACAAAGACAAAGCCCGCAAATAAGAAAGAGATGGGAAAAGGTCTAGATAATGGGTGGGATAGTGAAGACATCATCATGGATGATGTGGACGAAAGGAAGGTCAATGAGAAACACCCAAAGACCAATGACACACCTTACAAATCAATCCCAAACTCTGATCATAAGAATACGACAACACGTCAATGCGTCTCTGACATCGCGGCTAAAATTAAGCCAGAGAAAATTCTTGAAACAGTGTTGAGGACTCCTATCCGACTTGAGGTAGGAGAGCTTCTTGGCACTTCCCGTGAGCTTAGCGGAATCCTCGCTAATGCTATCAAACCAAAGTCCTTACCTAATGACTCGAAGATAGAAGCACATTCGGTATGGACAAAGACACGTGGACTATTAATCAAAATAGCCATGCATTGTGACGGTCAAGCGATTAATGCAATAATTGACATGGGTTCACAACTCAATATCGTAAACAAACACGTCTGGAAGACTATTATTAATAGGCCTATAGATATTGCCAAGTCAGTATCTACAGTGGCTCAAAAAAGTGTCCCAATGTTTGTAGCTTTTCATGTAATTGCTATATCATGTGTCAAGACGTGGGAATATGACTAAGCTATAGGGAGATGTCGGAAAGGTCTGCATCTCAGCTTTATTTCTATTCCCTATACCGTGGGAAAATAATGACATTATGTGAAGATATGAGTATTTTAATTTGATGACTCATTGGGACACTTTTTTGACTTTAAGTTTTACTAATGTAATCTCTATAATTCTAGTACTGTGTGTGACCTCCTTCTGCTCCAATCACTTCTGCCACTCTTCTAAACATATTCTCTATCAATTTTGGGTATTCCTCTTTGGTGATTCCATCATACTCTGCTGTAACACTGTCTCATAGTTGGAATAGCCCCTATAGTGAATCTTGATATGCTACAAGTAATTTCTTGAGTGATTCTCAGGGGTATTCAATAGGGTTGATGTCTTGGGTCTATGTTGAACATGATAGAATAGTAATATCATGGTTTGCAAGCTATTGGTGGCTGATTTAGAGGTATACTTAGGGTCATTGTCTTATCACAAAACAGTATCTTCTTCATTAACTCATAACTTCTGCATGCTTCTTAGCAGACACTCCTGTCAAATGAGTATTTACTACTCTGTATTCATCCTCCCCTTTGCTTCATAGAATATTCCCACTCCATTTTATCTCATATAGTCCTATACCATCAAGTTTTGTCTTGAAACTTAAGGTGTTTATTTAACTTTTCTTTATCTTAATGATTGTCCTATCTATTTTAATATAAATTCCTTGCCATATGATCTCATCCTATTGATTTTAACCTTATCTAACTAGATAAACCTCTTTCAGCTATTAGCAGTCCAATATTTGTACTTGAAAGTAGCATCTTGTCTTTTCTTTTTATAGGTTGGAGACAGAGGAATCTGTTTTTCTTGATTATAGCTTTAAGATGGGCTGTCTTGAGAGTCTGTCTGACTATTTGAGTAGAGATAGTCATAGGAATGATGGAAATAATCAATTTAGTCACTTTATTAGCATCAGCAGTCTTTCCAATTAGAATATAGTGATTAAGAGATCTTAAGTCTTATAGAGCAACCTTCTAGATTGGCTACCAAATAACTTTAAGACCAGAATATTACTATTCTATCATATTCAGCATAGACCCAAGACATCAACCCTATTGAATACCCCTGAGAATCACTCAAGAAATTACTTGTAGCATATCAAGATTCACTATAGGGGCTATTCCAACTATGAGACAGTGTTACAGCAGAGTATGATGGAATCACCAAAGAGGAATACCCAAAATTGATAGAGAATATGTTTAGAAGAGTGGCAGAAGTGATTGGAGCAGAAGGAGGTCACACACAGTACTAGAATTATAGAGATTACATTAGTAAAACTTAAAGTCAAAAAAGTGTCCCAATGAGTCATCAAATTAAAATACTCATATCTTCACATAATGTCATTATTTTCCCACGGTATAGGGAATAGAAATAAAGCTGAGATGCAGACCTTTCCGACATCTCCCTATAGCTTAGTCATATTCCCACGTCTTGACACATGATATAGCAATTACATGAAAAGCTACAAACATTGGGACACTTTTTTGAGCCACTGATATGAACGACGTGAATGGTGGTGAAGGCAAACTACGTGGATTGGTACAAAATGTTCCACTAGACTGTGGAGGAGTTAGTACTCATGCGAATTTGTTTGTTGGTGATCACGTACCATTCAGTCTATTATTAGGTCGTCCATGGCAAAGAGGAAACTACGTCTCCATTGACGAAAGAAAGGACGGGACGTGGTTATTATTCAAAAATCCACTTGATTTAGAGGTCCGTTATGAACTTCTATGCACTCCTGACGGAAATGACCCTAATTGGGACTTTGAACCGTCCACTTGGGGTCACTAATATGGGCGAAACGACAATGTTTTGTGAAATTAATGAAGAATTACCGAATTCGGAATTTAGCGCGTGAAACTCTAAACTCAAAAATCATGTGACCAAACAATTACAAAATGATCTCCATGCCGAGAATTTTATTCGTAAGAAATTTATCAGCAAAGGCCGAGATCAGTCAGCCAAAATTGAAATTAAAGATTTCTCAAAATGTATAAAAGAAGTGGCAGAACCAGTGCTACACCCAGCGCCCACTGGCCTCGTGTCCGATCAATCCAGCGCGAGGCATCCACAAATCACATGCACGTCCATTTTTAGTAATCCATTGCATTTTTGGAATATGCCGGAACACGCGTTCGACAATACTCGCGCTGAACTGGCCGATTTCCTTTTTCAGAACCCTGGCAATTTCTGGTTCACAACTTCTATTGAGAATAACGGTCTAACTCTCTCCTTCTCCCCCACATCCTTATCCCCACTTTTCGACCCCTCACAAATGGATGTTCGCTCCCCCTCCTATTCTCCCGTGCAATGGGAGGGATCGTCCAATCCTGGAGAAGAGGGAAACATCCCTGAGTTGAAGGATAGGGAGGGTGCATTTTTTTTTCTTTCTAATATTGTTCAAATTCTTACTAAAACAAACACTATCTCACATTCACCCCCTCCTCATCACTCGTTGGCCAATGCCAAACTTCATCTGGCGCCCTCTTTGGCCAATGCCAATCCTCATCTGGCGGCCTTATCTTTGGCCAACACCAATCTTCATCCAGCGCTGTCTTCTTTGGCCAATGCCAAACTTCATCCGGCGCCCTCTTTGGCCAACGCCAACAACCATCCGGCACCCTTTTTGGCCAACGCCAACGCCAATCCGGACCCCCACCTTTGCCCAACGCTTATGGCACTTTGGCACTCCCACCTTTGCCCAATGCTGACGGCACTTTGGCACTCCCACCCTTGCCCAACTCTGACGGCACTTCAGCACTCCCACCTTTGCCCAACTCTGACGGCACTTCGGCACTCCTACCTTTGCCCAACACTGATGGGACTTTGGCACTCCCACCTTTGCCCAATGCTGACGGCACTTTGGCACTCCCACCTTTGCCCAACGCTGACGGCACTTTGGCACTCCCACCTTTGCCCAACGCTGACGGCACTTTGGCACTCCCACCTTTGCCCAACGCTGACGGCACTTTGGCACTCCCACCTTTGCCCAACGCTGACGGCACTTTGGCACTCCCACCTTTGCCCAACGCTGACGGCACTTTGGCACTCCCACCTTTGCCCAACGCTGACGGCACTTTGGCACTCCCACCTTTGCCCAACGCTGACGCCACTTTGGCACTCCCACCTTTGCCCAATGCTGACGCCACTTTGGCACTCCCACCTTTATCCAACGCGACACCCACCTTAACCTCACCCGCGTCCGACACAACACCTATCTTAACCTTATGCGCGCCTAACACAGCCCCCCTTATACTCTTACCTTGTCCCTCCCTTAATGGGACTTATATACATGTATCGTTGATTGATAATGAACTTTGTTTTAAAAATATCCTTGACTCCGAACCTGATCCAGACCCAGATCTTTGCACTAATTCTCTGATTCCTCCCATAGACGCTATCCCGGATAACGTCTTTATCAGCGACTTCGCTTGCGATGATTGACAGGGTAAGGAGGCTTTCGCGACACCAGTATTAGAGGAAGGAGAAGTTCTTTCAGCGCAGGACCTGAAGGAAGACGCGCATGATGCTTACAATGGTGAGCACATAAAAGCTACAAGTTTTTATGACGCGCTCACAACAATTCTAGCTCGCGCAGCTCAGGATAATAATATCAAACCTTTTGGTGCCTATTCCTCGCGCTCGTCTATGGCATCAACACCACCATGCACATCACCATCTACCTACTCGTTTGATGATGAACGAGCTTATCAAAACGACGACTCACTCGATGTCTATCTTATTCATCCAACTATGGACCAAGAAGAGTCTACCTACTCGAACTCTAGCTCCCCCATACCAGCAAGCACCTTCGTAATGACACCTCCTAATTCAAAGGACGAGCTGAGTCTCGAGGACGAGTACATGCCTTCTCTTGTTCCCTTGCTTCCGTTTAAGAATAATATTATCACTTCCTCTCCTCGTGCATCATTTAGACACGAGAAAGATGAGGACGACGACATGCACATCCCTTACCCTGCACCAACTTCGGGGAATATATCCTATCATGGACCTGCTCGAGCAGATGGTAAGACCGAAATCTCTTTCATAGGACTGACTCGCGTGGAGGCTGAAGAGCACCTTAACGGCGAGTCAGCCAAATATAACGACTACCATTCAGTATATATCCCCAACGTCATGCAGGCCATTGAGTCGTTCTGCTTCTGTCAGGACGAGATCATCGTGAACGACTGGAGCCCTCATATGTTCCAGGACAGATCCTATTCTGGGCACCCTACTATCCCTGGGGGAGCTAAACTCCCTACAGGAGGCCCTCGTTCTGGACGAACATGGCACGAACGTGTTCGTGAAATTCGCGATCATCGTGCTCACAGCAGGCACCTTATTAATGTCATTGAGACAGTCCTGTCAACTCGAATGCTTGCAGAAGCTTCGAGGCACGCACACACTATCAAATGTGATCATTTCCTTCACATCCAAGGAGGCATCTCCCCCAGCACTTATCTAGGTCGTTACGAGGATGCCAATCCTTTCTTTTCTGAAAGTGAGTGCAAACGGCTAAATTCCTATGCTGCCATTGCCGAAAACCATGGAGAGCCTATTTTTGCCTCGAAGATCCTGGATGCCCTACTCATGCCTTTCCCTGACGAGGACACCATTCGTGCACTTACAGAATCTCGTCTCCTTGATGTTGGGACCATCAAGGACATCCTTCGTCTTGCATCAGACAGAGACCTAGTCCTTGGGATCGCGCACTCGGGCCTCACTATCATAGCAACATCACCTTTCGAAGTGAGATGTTTGAAGACCCCTTTTATTCAAAGGAATGGTTTGTTCTCTCAGATATTGCTGAGGAACCTGATGAAGAGCCGAAATATAAGGCTAAGAAGTTTTTTCTCTAGTACTCTAGAGGTAAACTTCTATCCTTCATTATTATCTTTTCAACTTATCAATCTTTCTAATAGAAAATCTAAAAACTCATTACTGGATCCTCAAGTCTCAAAATTTCGTATATGTCCATCATTTCTCATTTTCCTTCGACTTCTATTGCCTCGTGTGAAAATTCACATAATCCCAAAAACATGGACCCTCGTGTCTTCAAACCAGTGCCTATGTATTTATATCTCCGTTTTCGACTCAGTATCTTGTTTCACTTGTTTGTCTTTGTTTGTTTTGATTGTCTCTAGTGCTCTTGCCTATTCACAAAAACTACATTGCAGACTTATGTGTATGAGTGTATTGATACAGGAAAAAGGTGTAAAAAGTCAAGTGATAGCCTTAGATATGAGTTACCTGTTCTGTAATTCAAGTCTTTGGTGGTCCAAATTTTTGTCTGAAAAACCTAAGTTTCAACAACACCAAAATCAAGTTTTAAGTCTAAGTCACTCAAAACCTATTGAACAAAATTCAAGTGAGGAGATGCTAGTGTATCCTTCAGATTTGCTTGAAAATGAGTCTATAGAAGACTGTTTTGAGAGACTTAGAAATAATCTCACATCCAAAAACCAAACTACAAACTTCAATCAAAATGAAGACTCTATACTTCAAGACTCAGACTATGACGAAAATTGTGATACTGAGTCTGATATCTTAATTTCTTGTGACTCTACCAACTATCCTGAGGGAAATCCAGTACTCACAATGTACAAGAGGGTTGACAAAAAAGTCAAGCCCATGTCAGGAACTTTTCCTCAAGGAGCCAGAGTAGATCGTCATTTCCCTCATAACCCACTTCAAAATTTAATCCCATTAACTCCACATCCCCCTGAATTTATTCCTAATGGATGTCTAACTCATGAACGTATGGTTGACCTTGGGATAAATTCAAAAGGATTTCTACTACGTGAAGAAGTGAAACTTTTTCAACACATCATGAATTTAAATCAAGAGACCCTAGCATTTGAAGAAACTGATAGGGGTACTCTCAAAGAATCATATTTGACCCCATACATTATTCCCACTGTACCTCATGTACCTTGGGAATATAAGAATATTCCTATCCCACCTGGGATACGTCAGAAAGTTATTGAACTACTCAAATCCAAGATTAATGCAGGGGTATATGAACCAAGCCAATCTGCATACCGTTCACGCTGGTTCTGTGTACTCAAGAAGAATGGAAAACTAAGACTAGTCCATGATCTTCAACCTCTCAACAAAATTTCTATTCAAGATGCTGGTCTCATTCCTATAGTAGATGACTTTGTAGAGTCATTTGCAGGAGCTCAGTGTTACACCGTATTTGATTTATTCTGGGGATTTGATGCACGTAAAATGCACCCAGAAAGCAGAGATCTTACAGCTTTCCTAACACCATTAGGTATGCTACGCTTAACAGCCTTACCAATGGGCTACACAAATGCACCTGCAGAATTTCAGAAATGCACCAGCTTTGTACTGCAGGATGAAATTCCACATGTAGCCAATGTTTTCATAGATGACCTTCCAGTCAAAGGTCCAAAGACTATCTATCCTGACGATGAAGGTGATCCTGAGGTCTTAGAAGAAAACCCAGGGATTAGACAATTTATTTGGGAACATGCAAATGATGTTCACCGTATCATGCACCACATAAAAGATGTAGGTGCAACATTCTCCGCTACGAAAATTCAGTGTTGCCTTCCAGACGTCCTTATCGTAGGACAGCGCTGTACTCCAGAAGGTAGACTACCTGATACTGAGAAAGTGTCCAAAATTCTTAACTGGCCGATCCCCACTACGGTTAAAGAAGCCCGAGGATTTATGGGACTTTGTGGGACAGTTCGTATTTGGATACTAGGATTTTCTGAACTAGCAAAACCTATCACCCAACTTTGGAAAAAAGATGCCCCTTTCATTTGGGGAGAGAAGCAAGATATTTCTTTTGAAACTTTGAAGGAACGTATATGTTCAGCACCAGCAATGAGAAGCATTGACTATACTTCCTCAAATCCCGTATATTTATCAGTCGATTCCAGCTTCATAGCTGTAGGAATCATCCTTTCACAAATAGATGATGAAGGACGACGATGACCAGCACGATATGGTTCTTTACCTATGGGTGATGCAGAGTCACGATACTTTCAGCCCAAGTTAGAATTGTATGGACTTTTCAGAGCACTTTGACATTACAGACTTCACATCATTGGAGTTCAGAACCTCCATGTTGAAGTTGACGCAAAATATATTAAGGGCATGCTTAATGAGCCCGATGTAGAGACTTGTGCGTCTCATGGTCTGATATGACAGCTTTCACTAGGAAGTACATAGCACGAACTTGTAGCGTCACTCTGTGCGCTACCCACAGCTATCTCTATATGAGGCGCAGCTTTCCCGCGCATCGCGATGTATACGCGTGCGCGCGTTCCCGCGCTTGAGCGCCCTATAGCGCCAGCCATCCAGAAGCATCCATCCACTGTCCACCAAGCTCCCTAGTGCGTATATTTCCATTTCCTTTATTAGCATAGTTCCACCTTTATTTTTATCATGGATTCTCACTCATATATATCTTTATATACCTACTCGGTAGCGCTTCGGCTCTGCATGACCGCGCTTAGGCGCGCTATATAAGCGCCAGCAGTACATACTATTAGAACTTACTTTTCCTACTTTTCACTTACTAGTTACTACCCACTTACTACTTAGCAGAACATAGTAGAACTCTATTTGTTTACATCTGGCATCGCTCTTCTCTTATCTTGCAACCTATTAGCACTTAAGACTACCTCTCTATTGTTTTCTGCATACGCGCACGTGTTCCCGCGCCTTGTGCGCACCTGCACTTTCTCGTGCTTCGCTTCCGCGCACACTTCTAGATCCTTGCTGCACTCGCTTCCCCTATAGGGTCGAACGCACTTGTCTTCTCAAGTAACACAGACTAGGCAGCGCGCGACCTTACAACTATTTTATAGATACAGCCAGGAGCTTTGTTTGTTCCTCTCAGTATTGTTGTTTCTACAACTGGAGCCCACCGCGAGGGGAGCAGTCAGCAAGATCTAGTTTTGCGCATCTTCGCACTTCACGCAATTCGCACATATAAGGTCAATTTCTTTGCAATTTCAAAAGCTAACCATTTTCTAGTCACGCATTCTCGCGCCTTGCGCGCGCGCAATATTCCCACGCCTCGCGCGCACACCTGTTATATGCCTCGCACGCGCCTGCACTTTTTCACGCTGCAATGCCTTATAGAATGCCTATCCGTGGCACGGCAAACGCGCCCAAGTTTGATGGCACTACAGACAACCTCGCCGAGTTCATTGATGCATATGAGCAGCTTGCTGATAAAGCAGGACTCCAAGGACTCGACCACATCAAAGGTATTATCCTCTACCTTGAGCACGATGACCAAGAACTATGGGGAGGCATGCCAGAAGCGGCAGTAGATGATTACAGCGCCTTTTTAGATGAGGTGAAGGTAATGTATCCTGGATGGGATGGTAAAAGATGCTACGCGCTTGCAGACTTGCGCGCCATCACGCGCGAATACGCTAACAAACCAATGCCCTCTTGCACAGAACTAAGCAGTTACCTGCGCACATTCAGGAAGATTATGCAGCCACTCATGGATGAAGACTGTATTGGAAAGGCCGAACGTGACCGCTTATTCATGGAAGGAATCCCTAGCGACGCTCAGGCGCAAATACGCTTGCGCCTTATGATCAAGTTCTGTCATATCCCGTATTCCGGACCTACATCTGACAATATTCCCACGCCTCATCCGGACCTCCGGACCTCCTGTCCATGTCTCCAGACCCAATCCTCTATCTGTCCGGATCCCTGTACTCCTGTATCTGATATCCGGATGCCAGATCTGATATCCACATCTCCGGATCTCCGGATCCGACCTATGCTTCATATCCGAATCCAAACCTTAAATCAGCGCTCATCCCCTTATGGTAATCACCTGTCTCCGGACTTCCAAACATCCGGATCCGACCTGCGTCTATCTTCCGTGCCTTTTCCCTTTGTATGTTCCTACTCCAGTTAGACCATATAATTTTCCGTACCTCATTTCATTTCTGCCCTGTATTTTCCTCTGTTCTAATCTCCGGTTTCATTTACTATTTTCCGATAGACTAGCATTTGACTTTTCTATACGCTCCGTCCACAGCTTTGTATAGCTTCGGACTTCGCATCTCAGTAGTATATAAACCCCTGTAGATACTCCTGTATTTCCTTAGTCTGATTATTACACATATATAGTCCTCGCACTAGATCCCACTCTAAGTCTTCACATCAGTTCTAGTCTTCCGACTTAAGTCAATATCTATCTCAGGCCTAGGGAGGAATTCCCTAGGCCGGAGCTCCGCTCCTCTGCTCCTCTGAACCTTTGCTCCTCTGCTCCTCCATTCCTCCGAACCTTTGCTCCTCTACTCCTCCGTTCCTCCGCCCAACCATTCCTCCATTCCTCCGAGTTTCTGGAAGTTCCTCCGGAACTTTCCTGCGGTCCTCCGGACCTATTCTGCGTCGGACTTTGTCCTTGCAGCCTTTCCTCTGTTTGCATCTACTCAGGACTTGTCCTGAGTAGCCATTACACATATCCGTACCAGGACAAAACCTCATAGTAATTTCCGGAAGTTCCTCCGGAACTTTCCCGCACTCATCCGGAAGTTGCTTGCACCTGTCCGGAAAGTCCTTCCAAACTTTCCTGCACTCGTCCGGAAGTCCTCCGGACATCATTCTGAAATTAAGGGCACATACTCGGGTAAGGGGCGCAGCGCATGAGCTGAAGCCAAGCCCCTTTGAATTAGTCCTACCCTTTGTGCACGGTCTTAACAAGTTCCCTGACCACCATTCATACAACCCATACCTGTTTATGGATGTCTTTGCAGCTGTGCAGTTCCTATTACCTGCGCGCGCTTTTCCCGTGCCAAGCGCACCAGTAAGCGCACCAGTTAGCGCACCTGTGGTAGCGCCAATTGCGAACTTAGTCACAGCAACTGTGCCAGCGCAAGCTAAGGATATGACCATTAGCACTAATGTGACAGCTGGACTCTTCTATCGCGCACCCCCAGAAGTTGTACTTGACAAAAGGCCACCAGTTCCTATTCTCGCACCTCGCGCGCACGCCTTTCCCGCGCCTTCATGCGAATTACACGCACCTCAACCATCAACTGCGCCAGCATACAAAGGTATACCAGACTGCGTCACTTTAGATCACGAACTCGAGTGCGCGCTCGCGAAGCGCAACCAGAAGCGCACTGCAGGCGCCTCTTCACATTCATCATCAGCACCATCTCCTTCGCAATCCGCATCATCATCATCACCAATCACATCGCCCAAAGTCAGGGATGACTCTAAACATCTATTGCACACTAATGCGCTGTAGATGAGGAATCTTGACTATACGTGAAAACACTTAAAACAAAAGGGTGCTCAACAGCAAGACCGGGATACGAGACAACGACTCGACCCAAAGGACAACCACTGAGAGAAGTTCCTCGAAATAAAGGTGGAGGGAAACTCTATGAGCTAGGCGGGCGCTAACAGGCGCGAGAAGATAATGCGCGCAAAGGCACGCATACGCGAGGTGTTAAGACCGTGCACAAAGGGTAGGACTGATTCAAAGGGGCTTGGCTTCAGCTCATGCGCTGCGCCCCTTACCCGAGTATGTGCCCTTAATTTCTGAATGATGTCCAGAGAAAGTCCAAGGAAGTCCGAAGGACTTCCGGACGAGCGTGGGAAAGTTCGGAAGGACTTTCCGGACGAGTGCAAGCAACTTCCGGATGAGTGCAGGAAAGTTCCGGAGGAACTTCCGGAAATTACGGTGAGGTTTCGTCCTGGTACAGATATGTGTAATGGCTACTCAGGACAAGTCCTGAGTAGAAGCAAACAGAGGAAAGGCTGCAAGGACAAAGTCCAATGCAGAATAGGTCCGGAGGACCGCAGGAAAGTTCCGGAGGAACTTCCAGAAACTCGGAGGAATGGAGGAATGGTTGGGCGGAGGAACGGAGGAGTGGAGGAGCAAAGGATCAGAGGAATGGAGGAGCAGAGGAGCAAAGGTTCAGAGGAGCAGAGGAGCGGAGCTCCGGCCTAGGGAATTCCTCCCTAGGCCTGAGATAGATATTGACTTAAGTCGGAAGACTAGAACTGATGTGAAGACTTAGAGTGGGATCTAGTGCGAGGACTATATATGTGTAATAATCAGACTAAGGAAATACAGGAGTATCTACAGGGGTTTATATACTACTGAGATGCGAAGTCCTAAGCTATACAAAGCTGTGGATGGAGCATATAGCAAAGTCAAACACTAGTCTATCGGAAAATAGTAAATGAAGCCGGAGATGAAAGCAGAGGAAAATAAAGCCGGACATGAAATGAGGTACGGAAAATGATATGGTCTAACTGGAGTAGGAACATACAAAGGGAAAAGGCACGGAAGATAGACGCAGGTCGGATCCGGATGTTTGGAAGTCCGGAGACAGGTGATTACCATAAGGGGATGAGCGCTGATTTAAGGTTTGGATTCGGATATGAAGCATAGGTCGGATCCGGAGATCCGGAGATGTGGATATCAGATCTGGCATCTGGATATCAGATGCAGGAGTACAGGGATCCGGACGGATAGAGGATTGGTTACGGAGATGTGGACAGGAGGTCCGGAGGTCCGGATGAGGCATGGGAACATCGTCGGATGTTGGTCCGGAGACATGGATAGGGCATCCGAAGGTCCGGATGAGGCATGGGAATATTGTCAGTTGTAGGTCCGGAATACGGGATATGACACGAGGCGAAGGCGCACGAGATGCGCGCATGAGCAGGAGGTTCGAGAATGCGCGCGCGCGAAGCAAAGGCGCGCCTTGAGCATTAGAGGAAAGATCCTATTGAGGAGTGAATGCAAAGATGGATGATTGACAGGAGAATCAGATCAGATAACAAGTGAGGAGGTGATCTATACACTTTCCAGTATACAAAGATAAGGGGAAAGTAAGTACCAGAACCAAAGGAAACCTTTCTGTATTTAAGAATGGAGATTACGCTAAGTGGCGCGCTTCCGAGCGCGCTCCCGAACCGAGTAACCATATCAACTCTAATTATAACTAAGTTTAAATAGACTTTCTATATGTAGTGCGGACGTCGGACCGAAGATTTCATTAGTTCAATGGACAAGATAGGAATAACGCACCAGCGAATCAGTAAGGACATAGGACAAATGGATGGACAATAGCGCGAAGACCTAGGAGGAGGCGCGCGAAGCGCGCATAGCGCGTGCGCAGGTAAGGCGCGCCTAAGTGCGCATGAGTTCGGATAAGGCGCGCGCGAGACTGGTCCTTAGGATTAGAGCTGTATCATATAGGAATGTATGGTTAAAGGCCGGATATTCGGCATTGAGACGCGCGAGTCTCTACACCGACCTTGCAGTGCCTGCCGAATGCACCCCTACCGCAGAAACAGCAGTGCTTCCCATTGTGGAAGGCCCCTATCTAGTTCCCGATGATGTCGTTGATACTCCTATCAAACGGGAGAGCTCCACCATGCTGCCCTTTATGACTCTTACACAATGCCGGCACGAAACTATTCAGGCCATGGGTAAAGAGATGAAAGGTTATTTTGTTGGCCCGATGCCAGTTGAGGACTTTCTCCAGGAATTCCTTCCTACTTGTCAAATTCCCGATTATGATCCCTCGTCCCTCACTTCCGCTGTTGGAGCATTCAGCGATATGCTCTCTGTTAGAAATGAGGAACATGCCTATATACCTTTTGTGAGTATATCTCTTGTATACAATAGTGAGATTATTGACAACCTAACCCTAGATTAACGCCATTAAACCTTTCGCGCCTCAATTGTCGTTTGTTGACACCCACAGTCACCCAGACATATGAAACTGCTCAAAAATAAATTCAACAGTATTCAATATCAAGCCGGACATCTGCGTGTATCCTGATGGATGTGCACCTTCATCGCGCAATTGTGATGTTTCTACAACAGAAATTATCGTCAAATTCAAATGGTCTTACTCCCATGACACATTTTGCAACCCTTCTGGGGTTGATAGCGTCGTATCCAAGACAAATCGGGGTATGGACACTCTGGGACAAATAACTAGCTATGCTGCAGCTCAGCTCGGCACCCAGTTCTGTACCCACGCATTCTCTCTCCTGATTGTACGTGATCGCGCTCGCATTATCAGATGGGATAGGGAGGGAGCTATCGTCACCAGCGCCATCGACTACAATAACGAGCCATATTTGGCTGACTTCTTTCATCGTTACGCACGAGCATCACCTGAAATGCGTGGTGTTGACACTTCTGTAACACTTGCTGGCGACGAGGAGGCTGACCTCACAAGGTCACGGCTCAATATTCCCAGTACCACTCGTATGTTCAAACTCGATATCCCTAGTGTTGAGGGCCCCGGCTCGCTTACATTAATCGTTCCTCAACCTCTTACAAGATCTTACTCGCCTGTTGGCCGCTGGACCCGTGCGTGTCCAGCATTCGACCTTATCAACAAGAAGGTCGTAATGTTCAAGGACTCTTGGCGGGTATCATTACCCGATGTTTTATTGGAAGGCGAGACCTATAAATTATTGCATTTGCACAATGTTTACAATATCGCAAACTGCATCACATATCATGACGTACCCCCCTCTATCGCTCAGCAATCTACTCAAACTGCCAAGTTCGGATGCACTAAGTGGGCAAGCCCCACTTGCCTCTCACTCCGCACATTCTCCACTGTCTGGCTCTCAATATCATGGGCGAAAAACTGACTGACTTTGAGAGTTCTCATCAACTTATTCTGGCTGTGCGTGATGCACTGATTGGTACGTGTTTTTCACTTCGCACATGTCTTATTCATAATCTATCAACACAGCTCATAAGGAAGCATTCGAACTTGCAAAGGTGCTACATCGAGACCTCAGTGTCAGAAATGTCGTCATCTACAAAGGGCAGGGCTACCTCATCGATTGGGACTTGGCAAAGTTAATCAATATTCAGGGTCCCCGGCAAACAACACACACGGTATGTTTATTCCATGTGCTTTATATAATGTGCTAATTTTGCTATTACTTAGGGAACCTGGCAATTCATGTCTGTGTACCTCGTTGAACATAAATACGCGATACACTCGGTCAAGGATGATCTTGAGTCGAGCTTTTATGTCATTCTGTGGATGGCTCTTATGTACAAGGAGATGTACATGGACATCGTTCGCCAGACATCACTCGCAACACAGGTCTTCGAAACCAATCCCAGATCATCTTCAAAAGCGGATTGGCTAGTCGGGAGAAGCAACCTTCCAAACATCATGTTTGTCGACTGCAAACTGCTCGATGGTCTTATACATGCACTTGCCAAATTCTTCTCACATCGGTACACTCAGATTACCGACCATCAGCAAATGATATTTGATAAGTTCCGGCTTGCATATGAGAATGCAATGCAAGAAGTCCCTATCACACAAGATTTGCTGATAGCTGCACATGGGATCATGACTGACTCCCCTGTCTACAAGAAGGAGATGGGTATGAAGGTCCTGGACTCACACGACACTGTGATAGACATTTTCAACAAGCAGCTTGATTTATCCAGTTGGCCTGTCAAAGATGCCGCCGTGCTGCAAAAACTCGAGCACGAGGAGAAGTACGAGCCAGGCTTGTTCACCAAGTCTCAGTCACTATTAGGCTCGGGGGTAGAAATCACCTTGTCTGGCAAGAGGCGTAGGCTAGATAATGCAGATGCTGACGAGGGTGATGGTGATTGCAGCTCGCTAACTGGTCTGGGTGGTGCATTGACATCCCTTCCTTAACCTCACATTAGACAAGTAACTATGTCATGTAATGCTAGTGATACCGTATTCTAGTTGTTCATGAATCTACACACAATAGTTTCCACGAGCCTGACAAACGTGAATGCCTAAATACCCAATACGAATGATTGCCCGATGAATGCCCAACAAATACCCGCATCATTTTTCTCACACTAAAAATCCGTATTTTACTTTCCCATTTTATCTTGCTAAAAAATTTGATTGTGCCCACAATTGCAAAATGACCAACATCACATGATATTTTGGGAAGCATTTTCCCGCGCTGAAAACTTCATAATTTACGTCGCTCAAAAAGGTGCATGGAATGTAGAATTTCGTGCAGGATTTTAGCACTATCCAAATTTTTGATCTTTATTGTGTCAAAATGTACAGTAAAAATTCCAACTTTATCACTAACATTTTGAAACAAATCTTGCATAGTGGAAAACTCCCAAACTGCCGGTGTGTTACGCATCCCCAGGTTGGAATGTCGGCTACTAACAGCAGCCTATCTTAGTAACTACACCATTCTGCGACTCTGCCTTTGTAGGCACAGTGCGCATAAGACTTCTCCCAGCCATTGTCAGGCTCTCGTTCATTTGGTGTCAGCACGATAACTTATCGTGCTGACAACAAATAGACGAGAGCCTGAACCATTCAATCAACAAACCCATTCAGTCAAGTCACTACGGCTGAAAGTCATCTATCCGGCAAACAGTGTTACTCCGACTCAGTGCGGTTTTGTAGGTACTATCTAGCAACGGCTTCCTACAATTATCCTCGTGCCGTTGCTCTATTGTCTGTCTGTATAATAGTGCCATAGTGTTGCGACAAACTCCAAACGCATTCTTAAATTTCTAGGCGATTGTTTTATCGTGAAGAAATTTGATTGATGTATTGTAGTGCGGTAGCAATATTACACTTGATTACAATAGTAGCACTCCCCACCATTTCAACTAACCAGTTTTCTGATGAACGTTAACCTTCAAGTTTGCCAGGACAATAAGAACTACTTTGTTTTCCGACGCTCTATCGCATGTGATCGTTCATCATTCATCGTGCACCTGCTGTTGTCAGTTTTCTTTCACTCTCTAGGATCTGGAACCGGGATCACGCTGCGGCTAATGGCTCATCAATCATACCATCAGTGAACCAATGAGTCCTTGATATTGTAGACATGGCTATTGTAATCAAATATAATCTGGATATCGCACTGTAATACTATGGATACCCAAATATATTTGTTTCGCGATGGAATATGTATGAATTATATCAAAATACAGGAGTATGATCAAAGTTTGTGGCGAGACTGCAGGGGAGCGTGATCACAGGAACAAATGGATAGATATCCACTTTTCTCAACCTTGGTGTATGTTCTCGTTTGTCAAGTCCTTGAGATCGTAGATATGGCTATATAATCCAACATCATATTGCTACCAAAATTGTATGACTTTTTAAGGCTTTCCGACGGAAAGCCGCTTTCGCATCCGATAAACAATTCTAGAGCACCGTGCCAGTTCTCCACAACACTACGACATATCACAATCACTCAAGACAATTAACACTACTCCAGACGTGCTAGTTTTATTGAAGGTACTCATATTCTCTCACCTATGCGTCACATTACACGACTTTTGAAACAAACTAATCTAGACCTGCTGTTGTTTGGCAAATCCTTTGGATCCAAACAACCGCTTTGCATAACACACTTCACGCGACTTCTCCAGGATGCTCGACAAAAGTGAGTTGATTCTGTTTCCTCGCAACTGTCTGTTATTTTTGCTACTACGCTACGCTCAGTATTTGCGTGGTTCTAAATGTACAAATGTTATCATGTCATCCGAGTCCTTTGGTCGAACTGAGCCTATCCGAAGTTGTGCTACCTATACATTGCATAATAGCCTGTGAGCATTAGGGACGAGGATGCCAAGTTTGGCGTTGGTGTCGCCAATCGCCAGCGTCCAAGTCTAGTGAAAGACGTACTTTCAGGATCTAGAGTTACCCTACTAGTGCACGGCGCATGTCAACCAACAATCCATCAAACCTCAACGTTTCATCATCAGACAACGCGGGCAGGCGAGACTTCATGGTCTCGTAACGGGCCCTGTTTTCCGCGGACTCAAACACTATAGCCCCAGACCAAGGGCCCGCCAAACCTTTCTCCAGCGACCAACCACGTGAAGTTGCTGCAAGGAAGATGGCATTGGTGAGGTAGCGTTTCCAGTCCTCTTGGTCGAAGGGAACGTAACGAGAGTACTGCATGTTGTTTATTATATGTTCTAGCAAGTCAAAGACGGCCGGGTGGCCAAACGGGATTCGGTACGTTATAATTCTCCCGTCGTCCATAGTCATCTGTAATGAGTATGCATCACGACACGAAAATAAAATTTCGTTATGACCTACCTGAATGACCTCATCGGCGAATAGAAAATTTGACAGTAGGGCAGTCAGTCTTGTGATCCGCGCTGTTTCCATGTCAAATTTAGTCATGGATATGTTGTGACTCAATGCGTAGGCAGATATCCAGGAGAACGTAGCGACCTGCTCGAAGTCACTGTGTATTTCCTTCACAACCGCTTTCATCCTCGCAAGTAAATTTTTACCATCTTGCCCAGATTTCCAATGGACGAGGTCGACCCCATTAACACCTTTGGTGGTAGAGTACCGAGCGATCGTATCGTCCAGTGCTCTCTTAGCGATAGCGGAGTTCTCTGTCGTGGACGGGAAAAGGTTTTCTTGGAACAAAAACTTAAACATAGTCGTTCGAGCATCCTCTTTTACGTCTCGTATGAACTCCGGCGATGTGAAACCTAGCGACAGCGATGAGGGCGTTTGTATCATGGACAAAGGTGATTCCTGGGGGATTTGTTTGGAGGTGAGAAACTTCGTCCGAGAGCTCGTAGCTTTACGGCTGCTCGGTCGAACACTCCGGCCCAACTTTTGGGTCACATGAGGCATGGGGTCGGAGGGGGGCTGAGGGTCGTTCGAGTCGGTGTGAGATGTCGCGAAGTAGTACTCGCTGTGCGAGCTGCTGGACGCCATAGTATAGGCGTCAGCAGGGAGTTGAAGATTGTGTATGGTTTGCGGAGCCGTGGAGTCGTGGACGGGACCAGCGTGAGGGAGACCAGCGTGAGGGACGGGACCAGCGTGAGGGACGGGACCAGCGTGAGGGACGGGACCAGCGTGAGGGACGACGACCGCATTGTGCCCGTCTGGGAATGTATGCGGCGGTGGCTCCATACGCAACTGACTGCTGCTGCCTGCAGACAGGTAGTCACCGTGAGCACCAACTTGAAAATTATGAGCAACTTGAGACAGTGTAAATGAATGATAATGAAACTCACAATTGGTGCTAGTACTACCGTCGTTGTAGCCTTGCCAGGGAATGTTCGAGTAGCCGTCGTATAGGTGAAGACTGTGATACCCTGCGTGAAAATGACAAACGTAAATGTGGCGAACAACGATAATATCAAACAACATTTACCATGACCGTAGTTAAATAACTCTGCGTTATCTGAGCTCTCATGCACATTGGAGTTAGAGGAATTAGCGGCCTGAAGATCATCGCCATACCCCAGCTGGGGGCCGTGAGCTTGAAGTGGAAGAACATTAATAGATCTTGCTAAACGGTTTGAGGAGAAGCAAAATGTACATTGAGCGTGGTAGCCACCTGCTGGTACTAAGTCAGGTTCATGCTGCGGCAGACTCTCCTGCAGTGATCGTTGACCTGAATCAGAATGATTGAGCTGTGGCAGGCCGGACCATCCTGATTCACTGTGACTCTGTTGCCCAGGGCCATGTTGATGCTGAGAGTCCGGGTCAGGCTGCCAATCAGAGTCGAAATTGAACATATCCGAGTCTGGATGACGATGTCTTGCGAGTAGTAGGAGTGTGGTCACGATACAGGTAGCGTAAATTCGAGTCGAACACGGCCGCGGCGGGTACAAGAGGGCCCCACTGATCAAACCCATGCCGGCTGCGATAACAGATCTATCAGACAGTGTCACGGTTAATTGGATAATGAGTGCGACTTACTCTTCGATTTGTTGCAAGATTTTCTGGCCTCTGAAGGCAGACGCGTCCGATTGGAAGGAAAAACACGTATTCCTGCTTTCAGACGCGTACAAGTTGGGCAATCTACGTTAATTCCCGCTGTCATGAGGTCAATTAAGGTTTGGGGTGGTACTCAGTCGTCGATATATGGAGTTCAATTGAATTGTACCTAGCCTCATGTTACACACATGAAATTCGAACCATTGTCCAGATTAGTCGTGCCGGCCAACTTCGGAAACGTTGGCCGCTGCAACCCCGGGCCGATTTACGCCATAATGACTCAGTAGTACTAGCCCAGTCTAACGTCATATGCTGGCAGTACTATGATCCCAGGCGTCGGTAATCTAACATAGTCAAAACCGTGTTCCATCAAAGTAAGGCGAAACTTAAATTACAAAATCTAGCGTAAAAGAAAACCGGCATCGAGGCCGCCTTCCCGATATCTGATATTGAAAGGCATCTGGTAGCCAACAACTATCGATGAAGTACATGTGTAACCTATCGCAACAAAAGTTCGAAGTGAATGTTGTAGATCTGATAACGATACTGTCACAGGGACAAACAGAAGGAAACAGAGAATAACAATGGGGACCTCATGCCCCACATCACAATCGGTAAAGCTACAGGGGAAACTTTGTCCCTGAACTATTCCTATCGCATTGCATATGTTGAGACAATGAATCTAGCACATGGTCAGCGCAAAGCCAGGCGAAAGTCATTTATACTGAGTACTTTAGCTGTTACACGGTGATGAAATTGCTGCAGTTCTTAATGTCTCACCCCTGGATCGGTCTTCTTCCGAGTGCGTGAGAGCGATGCCAGAGTCATCGGATTCGTCTGAGTCTGTGGCTTTATGATCATCAGCAGCGACATTGCTTGTAGGTAAATGAGCACACTTACATGTATTCTCGAGGTAATCCAACTGTGTGTCTCCAACAGCGAATGATGTTACATCATGGCTGTATGCAGCGACACCGAAGTCTATCCGATCTTTAAGTTCCTCCTCACTACAGCTAACGAGCCCTTCAACTGACGTGCCAAAAGGCTCACTGCCAGCACTGGCATATCTTTCACCTTGATCTTCAAGAACCATGTGAAGGAACTTCAAGTGTTCTTCACTCGCATAGATTTCCCAAGCCATTGCCAGACAACACACGCGCCTCCATTCAACGTCAGCGTGCATCGTAACTACAGCTTGAGCTGCAGCTTCTGAAGACAAGTTCTTCAAACGGCGCCGGAGCACATCTTTGGTCTGGTATGTTTTTCTCAATGAGCAATTTGTCCAATTTATATACAAAATAACATACCCGCTGAGCATCTGATACACTCAATGAGCCACGGTGAGATAACTGGTTATTAAAAAAGCGGCTGATCCTGTGTGTTGGAGCTATCCTTTATGCGAAGCGTTGGGCTTAACTTTGCACGCTTGACAAAACGAGCAAGATCGTTGATTATGGGTGGAGGAGTTATAGGTCTAAGAATGCCGTCGTCGGTTTCGTCAGATGATGGCGACCTGGCACGTTTGGCTTGTGAGATATGTCGACTGCGAGTCTTACCAATCGTCCGAACGAGAGCTGGAGAAGGCTCGAGTATGCACGAAGAAGGATCAGTCTCGCATTGACTGGGCTCGTCTTTGTACTCGCATTCCTGACTCGACCCTCTGGTCGAGCTTGGAGGAGCATGAAAGGGCATTCTTACTGTGGGCTGGTGCGTAAGTGGGAGGGAACTGGGTTCCGAAGGGTTGAACATGGTTGCTTATGAGTACGTGTACGTATAACACTTGTTATTATTAGTATTTCCATATTGATTCTATGTCGTATAAGGAAAAATGATAAGGAATTTGAAATTTGAAATTGGAAACAAAACTCCGGAAACATGTGTACAATGCTGAGTGCTACGGCGACTCGCGATTCGAGTTCTCAGATGCACTTACCGAGCTGAAGCTTGTATTCGGCAACATACCCATTGTAATACATGCAGGCTTTTACAAGTTTTCTGGATCCTGCTGGTTTTTGTGATGGTGTCTCAGTGCGGAGCTCGAGGTTGTTCTTGGCAGAAGGCAACAGACAATCGAGGACTGAATAGACATCGAGCGACTTGCAGTTTTTTCAAAAGGTCTAGCGTTCTTGCAAGACAGAAAAGATTAGAGCTCGCGAGAGGTTCGACTTTGTCTAATTTAGTTGCAAACATGTCAACGAAGGCCCTATCACAAGTGAGTTGGTTGGCTTATTGGTCAGAGCAGGACTTAGTAAACTTGTCGCTAGGGAACCTTACCACTGAGGCCTTCCAGTGGGCATGTAAAGGCCCATCCAAGACCGATTGCCTCTTGTAAACCCTTAGAAGCCAGGCCGAGTTCTAGCATGACTCATACTATGTCATTCGATGTCATCCCCTCTGGCAGTCCCACAGCGTCCGAGTCGCAGCACCGTTTCAACGACTCGAACTCAGAAAGGGGGCAAACTGATGTTGACATGACAATGGACGATACCTTTGATTCTGGAAATCGATCTGACCGTGGTGAGATCTTACGTCCATATATCTATGGAGCAGCCGGATCTGATGTCTGCTGATCCCTCTATGGTTTCAGAGGATTATAATGTTCCTCAGAGACGTATTCCGAGGTTTTTCAATGATATTGAACCTTCAGCTGAGGACCTCAATGACTGCGATAATACACCACCAGCCCCACCCCAGTCCAGGATCCGACGTGTCCTTCTAACGCTCAGAGATACTCTGCAAACCGCTTTCAACTCTGTTGGGATTTGTCGTCTATACCCGCGGCGTCCGTCCTTTGAACCAAATAGATTCATCCCGTCTTCATTGCTTGCCAAAACGTGTCCAAGGGTCGTTCAAGGAACCGATTCCCCGGCAAGGATATTTTCGCCACCCTACCCCTTTCCAAACATGACCGTTTATCGGCTCATGTCTTGGATGAATTCTGGTAGTCACCAGAAATCGGAAACCGAGATCCAGCGACTCGTCCGAGATGTTCTACAAGCGGACGATTTCGACATTAAGCATCTTGAGGGTTTTTCGGTGAAGAAGAGCCTGCAAGATTTAGATAAAGATGAGGGCGAGGAGAAAGTCAGCTTCCCAGATGACTGGATCAAGACCGACGTGACTATTGGCATACCTACGAAATCAAGAGAGGAAGGACCAAAGGCGTATAGTATTTCCGGATTTCATTATCGCCCTCTTGTTGAAGTGATCCGCGCGGCATTTGCAGATATGCAAGCTGGCGCATTCCATCTGTTGCCTTTTAAACGGCTATGGAAGGATCCATTAGATGCCCATCAGGAGCGAATATTCGACGAGCTCTATACTTCTGATGCCTGGCTGGAAGCTCAGGACAATCTCCAGAAGCTGCCAAAGGAGCCTGGCTGTACATTGGAACGCGTAATCGCGGGTCTCATGTTTTTTTCTGATGCCACTCACCTAGCCAACTTTGGGACTGCTAAGGCATGGCCACTTTACCTGTATTTCGGAAATCTGACAACGTTCCCGCGCTTGCGCGCCCTATGGCGCCAGCCATCCAGAAGCATCCATCCACTGTCCACCAAGCTCCCTAGTGCGTATATTTCCATTTCCTTTATTAGCATAGTTCCACCTTTATTTTTATCATGCATTCTCACTCATATATATATTTACATACCTACTCGGTAGCGCTTCGGCTCCGCTTGACCGCGCTTAGGCGCGCTATATAAGCGCCAGCAGTACATACTATTACTTACCTACTTTTCCTACTTTTCACTTACTAGTTACTACCCACTTACTACTTAGCAGAATATAGTAGAAAGCTATTCCTTTACATTTTGCACTCTTATATCTCTTATCTTGCTTTATATCACTACTTAAGCTTAGTTTCTCATTTCCGCATACGCGCGCACACTTTCCCGCGCTTCGCGCTAATACGCGCGCGCGTTCCCGCGCCTTTGTACCTTGCGCGCTCCTGCGCTTTCTCGCGCTTCGCTTAAGCGCACACTTCTAGATCCTTGCTCGCGAACATCGCCTCAATCGGGAGCATGCCATTTGGTAGGATTTTTACCTTCAGTGAGTCATCCTGTTTGGGTTCTTGTCTATTACCATTGACACGAAATGTCCTTGTCAGATTCCCGACAGCATTAAAGATATATTGAGCAAGCTACCTGGTATATCGAAGACTGGGATAGCCTCACTTCAAGCACACTGCCGTAGGGAGCTATTTCATGGGTGCTGGGAAATTTTGCTCGATGAAGAATTTCTTCGAGCGTATCGCCACGGTATCATTCTGACTTGCCCGGATGGAGTACTGCGAAGAATATTTCCGAGAATCTTTACATATTCAGCTGATTATCCAGAGAAGTACACCGTCCTTTACCTGAATTAAAACTTTCAGAATATTCATGACTGATTTTCAGGGTTTTAATCGCAACCATCAAGGATATGGGCTTGTGCGCATGTCCTCGCTGTTTCACGCCTAAAAGTATGTTTGGTTCACTTGGTTTACTAAAGGACATGAAAAGTCGTATAGCCACGCTCCGAGTGTATGCTATGGCGAAAGTCGAAAAGGCGCGCGAGTTCATCTACAAGTGGGGAAACACTGTAGATGGTCCAAAGGTCGAAAACACTCTTGGAGACGGCTCGTGGGTACCTACTATTGTAAGCGCGAACAGTTCCTTGAAAATTGCGATTAGCTGAGGTAGACTACTCCTAGAATCAATTTGCAAAGAAGCTTGGACCGCTTGGTCTCGACACATTCCGGATGCTTGTTGTTGACTTGATGCACGAGTGCGAATTAGGCACTTGGAAAGCTCTGTTTACGCACCTCATCAGACTTCTTTATGCTCTTCCTGGGGGCAGCCAGCTAGTTGCTACTCTTGACAACAGGTATGCGAAGTTCACATATAGAGTGCTGTCATCTACTAACGAGTTGTCGGCTCTCAATCTTACCATAGATTTCGCCAGGTCCCGACATTTGGTAATGGTGTAATTCGAAGATTTGCGAATAACACCTCCGAGATGAAAAGATTAGCAGCGCGTGACTTCGAAGATATCCTACAGGTTTTTTTTTCTGTTATTCATTGTCTTATGCTCGCTGACATCTTTGCTCGGCAGTGTTCTATCCCGGTTTTCGAAGGGCTGTTCCCAAAAGACCACGATGCAATCATACAGTCTCTGTTGTATCGATTTGCACAGTGGCATGCGCTTGCTAAGCTTAGAATTCACTCAGAATCTACGCTTACTCTTCTCGAAGATACATTGAAGAAGCTTTGTCAGAGGTTACGGAAGTTTCAACGGGACACCTGCGCTGTCTTCAACACTGTCGAGTTACCGAAAGAGAAATCGGCTCGCCAACGAAGACTCGCTCAGTGCTCGGAATCCAATACCACCTCCTCTGAATCGAGTGGACCGCGGGTAAAGAAACTCAATCTCGGTACTTACAAGTTTCATGCGATGGGCGACTATGTGAGAACGATCAAGCTCTTCGGAACAACGGATTCTTTCACCACTCAAATGGTATGCGCCTGTTTTATTTCTACGATGCAACTGACATTATATTTGGCCAGGGAGAGCTCGCGCACAGAGCCCTAAAGGCATTTTATCCGCTAACCAGTAAATTAGATACACCAGCACAGTTAGCTAAGCACGAGCGTAGGCGCCGTGTACTTCGACGCGTGGCAGAATCCGGAGGCATATCATCTTCTGATAGTCAATCGCCTGCTGATGTCTCCCCTTTTGCCCCCTTGCAAAAGCATCACCATATCGCTACAAATCAAAGCAATCCTGTCAATATATTCCCGTTCCTTCGAGAACACAGCGGCGATCCGGCAGTCAAGGTATGCATGATACTGCAGTTGGAATTCTTCGTTCACAATGGATGTCAGAATTTTGTACCAAGACTGAAAGACCATATACTCTACAGGCTGCGCAAGCTCGACGTCAGTCATTGCGACCACAGCTTCACGGACGAGGAACATAACTCAGTCATCATTCCAAACAATACCATCTACTCAACCCAGACCATGCAGGTATGTATATATGTGCGCGTGTATTTGTTTTTTTAATCCTTGCTTTTTCGCAGGTATATTATAGTACATATGACCTCAGGCGCGAGTACGATACCATTAACCCTAGGACACATGCTGATGTCATGGTACTTTCGGGGGAGACGACGCCTACTCACCCGTACTGGTATGCTCGTACACTAGGTATATATCATATGGAAGTCTGGATCAACAACGGAGAACGACCTGTCAAGCACCACCTCGAGGTTCTCTGGGTCAGATGGCTGGCACCATTGCGGAGCCATAAATGGAGCATGAAACGTACCTGTCTCCCGAAGATTGCGTTCGTTGAGGCATCAGACCCCGACTCGTTCGGGTTCCTCGATCCAAGCCAAGTTATTCGAGGAGTCCACTTGATTCCTGCTTTTGCTGCAGGACGAGGTATAAGCTCCCTTCCTCTTGGCAAATCATTGGGGCGTCCTGACGGGGAACTTGATGATTGGGAAGCATACTATGTTGGGATGTGAGTGCGAATATTACCTCCTATGATGGCAGATTAACATTAAGCCTCGAAATTTTGGTCAGATTCGTTGACCGGGATATGTTCATGCGATATACTCCCTTCGGTATTGGACATCCTCTAACACTACGGAAGATAACTAGAGACTGCCTTGGCCCACTGGCAGCACCAGCGGCTGGCTCGGACGCTATGGATACTACTATCGTCGATGATGTAGGCCATGAAGATGGAGTGAGCGATGGTGAAGATGGTGAAGAGTGCAACGACGAACGGGAGGAGGATCCCGATGATGAGCTTAGTGACGACTGGGAGGAGCTGGAAAGTGAAGATGGTGAAGATAGAGATGGCGATGAGGACACGTTTGACGACCTTTCTTTTTAAAATTCATAATCATTTGTATTTCACGACGGCAGCCGCTGTAACGCTCTCGCCGCCTAATGTACTTTGTTCCCCCGCTTTATCAACCATGATATACTGACCGTGAGTTTTTTGGACCCGCTGGGTACCAGTTTGGACCATCGGCCAAATCAGTGCTAAACTGTTAATTTGCTATTACGTTAGCCGGACTTACCATTTAGTGTTGACGAGACATATCCAGCGTAGTACGCCTATAATGGAAAGGGTCAATATTGAACGTCAACGCTCTGATAGGCCTTCGCATGGAGTTACGTTTGCCGATATTCGATTAAATACAGCAGGACCCCCAGTGGATCATGAAGTCAAGTAGGCTACCCTTCCCTTACCTTCTTCTCTATTTCTTCCCCCTCGTTCATATTCCAGATGGAGGATAACCCGCATCCTGGAGCATCGTCCCAGGCGGACTCGGACACCCTGCGACATGCTGCAGTATCCAAATCACCCGTAGCGGTGGTATCAACGTCCGAGAATGCTCGACGGAAACGCAAGATTGCCAACTTGGAGGGCTGCGAGAATCTCGAGTCGGTGAAAAGGTATGGGCACCAGTTTAATTTAGTAGTAGTAGTTTACTAGTATGCTTACCATTGCCAGGGAAAAAAACTCACAAGGACGGGCTATCATCAGACGGATGATTGACTTACTCGATAATGTCGAGGAATTGATGAGCGAGAACGATCGCGATGACTTAAAGGACAACGATCATAACCTTGATTTAACTCTCATCCTCGGGTCAGTGTTTCAAGTCCGTCCAGTGAGAGTGACTATTCATGGTGTTTCCAAAGTCAGGATCGTTTGCGCGTCGGATACGTGACGCTTAAAAAGACTTTAGATAATAATAATATGCAGCACGACGATCACTTGCATATGCAAAAAAAGGTGCGCTTCGCCAGTGTCACTAGTGGCTGGTCTTGCATTGAACTGTTGTCCAGCTTAGTATGCAGCTGCAGGGGTTTGATGGTGCTCCAGAAGACATCGATGATGATCGGACCACTCAACTTATGGCACAAGCCCAGCAGCTGCGGGACTCGCAGAACCGAATCGACAACCTTCATACGCAACTATTTGATTTGCGCAGCAGGTTGTATGAGGTCGAACACGCCCATAACATGGCAGAAATACAGCGCCTGGAAACGTTGCAGACTCAAAGAAGAGGATCGCGCGATCATCGCCGTACTATGAAGCTGCATTCCCCACCTCCGAAAAGGAAGTCTATGGTCCACGAATATTACTCAGATGGTGGGCAGTCGATTAGGTGGCTCACAGACGAAGAGTTTGAGCCGTATGATGAACTGTCTGCTAATGAAGAAAGCTCACCTGTTGTCAAGGCCATTGGAGGGCCATTGTCATGTGGATTGGCGGATAGGCGACGCATGTCTTTATCTCGCCGTTGGGCTTTGCGTCGTTTCCAAAAAGTCAGGGATGCTGCCGACTTGAATGACTCGGACGGGCCTGTCAGTGCGGCTGGCTCTGCAGAGATCTGAAGGAGATACTGTTAGTTTGGCTCTCCCTATAATATATATATATTTTAATTCACTCGACTATGCGAGTCTTGCTTCATACTACTAGTACATAACAACGTCCGGGTCGTTATTGTTACCTACTACTACTATGCAATCCAGTGTTTTGGTCCAAAAATAGCATACGCGGAATCTGTGCGGCGCTCCATTTCAATTAACAAGGCCAAGCATCTGTGCAACTTCACTGGTTCGTGACTTTCTGGCCGCGGACATTTTTGAAAGATCTGTGCACAACTTGAACGTCTAGTTCTTTCCAATGCTATATATGCTGAAGCATACATCTATAAGGACTCATTCAAGTTTACTTGGTGTGTGCATTTCCTTGCTTAGATGCTACTTTGTTGACCATCCTTCGTACTAGTACTAGACGTGCTTCAAACACTCAATAACCTCTTTTTCCAGGTATGCTGAAAGAGGTGCGTGAGATGGCGTAACGTTGACATCAGATCTGACGACACGCAGGTATACCGTTCCGCCGTGGATATCTGTTGCACGGTGTTCCTGGAAGGTTCGTATGATTCATGTGCTCTAGTTACCACCGGTACTCACGCTCCATTGGTCATAGCGGCAAGACTTCATTGATACATTTATTGGCGGGTGAATTAGGTCTGGATATCTACGTTGTCAGCTTGTCATCACCCTCTGAAACTGCGCCACTAACATGCCTCACCAGACTGCTTTTTGCTACGGCTAACCATATTGAGCGCCTTGATCCAGCTCTTAGTCGCCCAGGACGCATGATGTCTGGGTGAATTTCACACATGCGACAAAATGGCAAGCCGAGGGCATTTTCAAGTGTTTCTTCCCCTCGAAGCCTGCTGGTGTCACTACCACATCTCCACCTGAAGAGGACGTTGACACTTCGCAGAAAAACCTTCCCCTGCCAAAGCGCCAGGCGCCCAGTCACACTATTCCTGTGCTTGATGAGACTGAAATTTCTGAGCTTGCTAAGCGTTTCGCAGATGCTATCCCAGAGAACGAGCTAAGCGTAAGTTTCCGGAAGCGATAATATATTTGCCGTTGACGTCGTTTCAGGTTGCCGCGCTTCAAGGCTACTTGTTAAAGAATAAGGTTCGCCCGCGCGAATGTGTCGATGAAGTTGCACAGTGGCACGTATACATAACTTGGGAAGTGCATCACGGACTCAACTATTTTACAGGATCATTGAAGAACGCGAGACTCGGGAGAAGCTCAAGAAGGAGAAGGCAGAAGGTACGCGTGGTACAATATCTGTGTGACTTATGCTGAATTTATTTCAAGCGCGAGGCGAAGGAGAAGAAAGAGGTAAGCTCCTGTGACTCGATCGGTCCTATTGTGATATCTGACCATGGGATAGACCGAGGAGAAAGAACGCAAGGAGGTATCGTGCTTGGTTCTGTCCCGCTGAATGATGTCACTCACAAAGCTATTCAGAAAGAAGAGAAGGTTGCTAAAGAGGTAATGTCCCATCAAACCCAATCATGCGCGTCCTGATGGTGAGACAAATCGTAAAGCAAGAAGAAAATGATGCCAAAGAGAAGACTGAGAGGAAAGAACGTGCGAAAACCAAAAAGGCTCACCGCGCCGAGACTGCCTTGAAGTTGGAAGGTACCTCCAGCACCAGTTCTCTGGCTACAACCGAAACAGTCGTTGTCTTGAGCACCGCTGAATCCTCAATCGCAATCGCCTTGTATTTCAATTCACATCATGGCCAACAACACTCGCGTAAGTAGTCTATTCTTTCAGTTTTTTTTTCAACTTTGATGGCTGATCGCGAAGAACCATCACACAGCTTCAGAATCATCGCATCAGCATCACACGCGAGAATGCAAATGAAATGCCACCAGCAAGTACACTCGTCAGACATCTGCCCAGGGAGTCGTAAGGCAAGGACGCTGTAAAAGACGACGCTGGTCTCAAGCGTACATGGTTGTTGTCGCTCGCATTCGCCACCAGATCTCAACGCGTTTCTCTCGGGCCAAGTCGTACGGAAAGTGCTAGGAGAATGTTGGGGGGTGATGGGGTGAGTACTGCCTCCTCAGGCTCTGCTGGCTTTGTTGTATGGGCACGACTGACTTGGGAGTTTAAATTTTCTGTGTCGTAGAGCGGAGCTCCACAATGTTGTTCTTTCGCTTCGCATTGCGCAGCAACCTTCTTCAATTCTCGCATTCATTGGAATGTCCGAGTCCAAGCCATACTAGCCACTGGACGTGGGACTACATTGACACCGACCCAAGTACGTGCGTCACCCTGAACCCGAACAAGTTTTACGTTGACCGCGAGCTAGAAATAGCATCATGCAACCTTGAAAGCTGCACGTCGCTGAAAAAGGTGAGTATTGACATTATTAACGCCGTTGCCTGTGTGAAACTTTCCATTATAGGCGTACAATCATATTTAGGGTAGCTGCCCTTGCCGGGGATAGTACTACCAGCGCAAGGCCGTTAAATTGAGTGGAAGTTGTTTGAAGTCAAAATCCATCCCTAGTCTCCTCCCTTTCCCTCGATCTCTTTTCCCTTTACTCGTCGTTGAAGCTAATGTCGCAGGTGGACGATATCCCGCAGCCCGAGGCATCCTCTCAGACCTCCGTGGCATCGTCCATGGCGGTGCCGACGTCTGATAGTGCTCGACAAAGGCGCAAAATCGCTGAATTGGAGGAGAAACTGCAAGTGTTTGAGTCGGGGCATGCGGTGAAACAAAGGTATGAATGTCGACATCTATAATCATGTAGTTCTGCACGCTAACCGTTATCAGGGAAACAAACTACTTCATGTCTCAAGGACGAGCTATCAGGCGCATCGTTGCTCTATTTGATAGCATCGAAGACATGATAGCCGAGAACGATAGGCGGTGCGATCTCGAGAGTGATGACGACAATATAACTCTTGTGTCAGTGTTTACCTCTCCATCTCCTGAGCGTTACTCACTAGTTTGATATCAGTCAGGATCGTCTACAATTCGGTTATATAATCCTCAACAATACCCTTCCGTGGTTTCACAGAAAGGTTTCTGACATGGAATACAATGACTATATGCACATGTTAAAGAAGGTGCGTTTCGCCATTGTCGATAAGTACCTTGTAATGGATCTTCATTCAGCTTAGACACGGGGCCGACAGTGCTCGAGGGGATGATACCTCGAAGCTTAAGACCCTTATCCCAGATTGGGTCAATCGTGAGTGGAGGCCCGATCCCCCCGTCGACCTCGAAGACAAACACTGCCGTGGATTTGCCCACGACACGTGCGGTAGATTGCTCTGTCCAACCGAGCTAGACTGGAATGATCCAACGTAAGTAGTATCACACTTATGACATCTCAAGACACTAACCGTTCACCAGCGTCAGAGCAGGAATCCGACCCTATAGGGGAAGTGAGTGCAGCAAGGATCTAGAAGTGTGCGCTTAAGCGAAGCGCGAGAAAGCGCAGGAGCGCGCAAGGTACAAAGGCGCGGGAACGCGCGCGCGTATTAGCGCGAAGCGCGGGAAAGTGCGCGCGCGTATGCGGAAATGAGAAACTAAGCTTAAGTAGTGATATAAAGCAAGATAAGAGATATAAGAGTGCAAAATGTAAAGGAATAGCTTTCTACTATATTCTGCTAAGTAGTAAGTGGGTAGTAACTAGTAAGTGAAAAGTAGGAAAAAGTAGGTCAAGTGTAGTATGTACTGCTGGTGCTTATATAGCGCGCCTAAGCGCGGTCATGCGGAGCCGAAGCGCTACCGAGTAGGTATGTAAATATATATATGAGTGAGAATGCATGATAAAAATAAAGGTGGAACTATGCTAATAAAGGAAATGGAAATATACGCACTAGGGAGCTTGGTGGACAGTGGATGGATGCTTCTGGATGGCTGGCGCCATAGGGCCGCGCGGACGGCTATGTCGTGACAGAAATGTCTTGGCCGGCGTTCCTTTACGCAGGATATACTGCCGATCAGAACAATCTCGAGGAAGGTCTGTTCAAAAGCAAGCTTTTAGTTCAGGTTCGTCGTACATAGATAGCTTCACAAAGACCTCACTTTTTGCAGGCATTCAAGGCTATCTTTACATCCCCCTCCTCAGCAAAGGACGTTTCCGGCGATGGTGATGGCGCTAACATCATCGAAAATAACAGACGTGCGAAGAAGGATCCCTTGGGCAAGAAAGTCAAAACACACGTGGCGCAAATCATCAAGATGAATAAAGTGTCAGCCCGCTCGATCGCGTATGTATCGTGTCAAGTAAGTGGTCAATTTTTCGTGTCCTTACGAGGTACTAACAAATTATGTAGTTGCGATTCGCACTTTCATCAGTGACTTCGTGGCGATCAATAGATGATGATTTTGATTACACGCAGTTCTGGTTCAACATCGTAGACTTTTTTGAACGCCCCCCTGGCCGAGTAGCGCAGCGCAACGTTGACCGGTTGCTTACATGGTGGACAAGGTATATTATTTTCAATACTTTCAATTTGACAAGCCGTTGACTGTTTATTAGGAAAGTCTTTGGTACCAGTCATCGTACAGAACTTAGTGATGCGGCGAAAGGCAAGATGTCCGTCAATGCTCTCGCGATGCAGAGGGCGCGACTGGATGATGCGCTGTTCAATTCCGAGTAGTTTACCCCTTCGGCCAGTTATTCTTACAATAGATAGCAACCTGCCCAATATAATGTCGATTTGCATTTACCGCTTGCTTGTTTGACGTGTGAAGACCTACGATATTGGTGTTCGTATCATGAGAAAACAACACATAGGGTCCTATGTACCTCTCTTGACATGTTGTTAATGTATCTGCATAATACACGTATGTGTTTAGTAGGCTGCACGAGGAAATCTAGCGTGATAATTGGAAAAGCCAGGATGTTCTCTCCTTCTATGTACACGCTAACAATCACAAGGAGGCTGACAGGTGACGGCGATCTTAGAACATATCGAATTAGTAGCCCAATTCACGAGACACGGACAAATCATCATATTCTCTCAGTCTGGTACAGGTGGGTGATTGCTAAGGCAGAGCGGAATGACATCGGTAGAAACCTGATATTACCCAACAGCAACTTTGTCATTAGATGAGGAAGCTAAGCCGCTCGTCTCGTGAGGTGCAAAAAGTGCAATGGTTTTGATGGGTGGTGTGATATATGATATACTCGACGAGTGGTCAATAAGGGCTCGAAGGAATGTATGACCCACTACTATATTGTTTTAGTCTATGCAGGCGTCAGCAATTGCTGAAGCAAAATGTAACTATACCAATTATTGTAGACAATAGCACAACTTCGGTCATAAATACTTGATTTCGCCCATTAACACCTTGGTGATTGGATGGGGGGCGGCTGTCACCAGGGTCCCGAATTCACTTACACGGCACTACACAGCATTTGCGCAAAACCTTGGACCGCTGCGAGACGCGTGGCAGATGAATACAACTGCTAGTTGTTGGGTATTCATACGATTTCGCGTGACAATTTGAAGTAAGCTGTACGTTGTATATGTTTGCTTGATGGACACATTCCGGCTGCGATACGAAAGTGGCACTTCTTTGCACAAATTCGCAATTGATATATAGTAGACAAACATGAACAATTTAAAGAAGGTGGCGTTAAAATTCGCACAAGGCATCAGTTTGCACTTCGTAAACACTTCGTGGTACTCTGCAAAACACGAGTTTTTTGGTCTGGCTTGGGACGTTGCACGATACTCGAAGAAAATCAACTTTTTGGAGAAGAGGGCGTCAAAATTAGTGCGAGAATATTAATTTAAACTTGTGCACTTGGTAAACACCTTGTAGTCATCCGGAAGATTAAGGCCTTCACGCCTGACTTTGACACGATGGAATTCACTTCTGAGGTGCCGATAGTGTCTCATGCAGTTCGACCCTTTGATTTTACTCCATATCACTTTCGAGTTAGAATTCCAGCGATATGTAGGTGTTCTCCCGATCAAACGCTGGTGTAGGAAATTTATGCATTGTCCTTTCCTGTATAAAGTCAAACATCACTATGTGATGATGGATAGCAGAATTATACAGATGTTTGTGATTGTGTACTATGTATCGTCATATATACTCTTATCATCTTTCCTCCAGTTCACTGATGACAGTCTCCATTCTATCCATTGAGCTTGAAAAGTCTATAATAGAAGTACAGTAAGACAGAAAACAGATGGCAAGCGGGCACATATCCAAGATAGTCATATCCAAGCCTTTATCATCATCTGCCTAACATCCAGTATTACCCCTCATCCGTCGGTTAACCCACAGGCCCAAGATTTATCCCAAGACCAAAAATACTGTGAAAAGTAGGTCTTATCAGGCGTAACCTCGAAGGAAACACCATCCGAATGTATCCTCTTATTTCCAGGATTCATCACAGGAAACCACGGTGGCCCCCACGGGAAGGACTTAGGATCCTGCTTGTAAAGGGCAGCAGACACCGTGAATCGCTCCACATGTAAGTCTATTCCCCTTGTGGCATATGCGGCATATGAAATTGACTTGAAATCGTGGATGGGAGGCAGATGCGGGTAGACCACTGAAAAGGTTTCAAGGCTCTTCATAGAATTCCACGTATGGTCCCTCATCCAAAGATACACCGGTATTTTTGGCGAGTCTGTACCACAGCTGATGCCGCGAAAGATGTGTGAGTCATCAGCCAAATCGATTAGGTAAGTGAAATGCCGGATTGGTGTAAGGAAAACAAATGTTTTAACAGTGTTGTAAAACAATTGCGAGTCCTGGGCTTGACGTATTATTGTTAGATTTTTGGTTTTCCCAGGAAAAGAAGTGTGTCCGTCGACATTGAGATCTGTGCGAGAAGACCATGCATCTTGCACGCTCCAAATGATATGCTTCAAATGGCCATAGTCAACCGCAAGTTCTGGCGCAGCAAGGATCACCGGAAGTAACACGCTTATGTTGCGCGCTCGCCCCTCGTCTTTTTTTGAGAGAAATTTACTGGTCAGGAAAAAAGAGTAAAAGTCATCTTCCTCCGACCGGGCCTCTACATAAACGAAATAGTCAAATGCGTCACTAATCCACATCCTCTGTACAGCGGAGGTATAGTCGAAGAAAAGATCGCTCTTTTTCTCAGCGTACGCTTTCTGCATAAGCAGAGCATTTGCGAACTTCTTTAAGCTGTGGCGTCGGCGGAGCAAGATCGTGCGCAAGAAATCGGGGAGGATAATGCGTCTGACAAGTCGAGAGACGAGACATAAGGAGAGGGCGGTCGAGTAAGGACTTTTAATGTCATATTTCTCCCTTTGAGAAAACGTCGGCTGGGCTGCGTCTTTGCAGATGGTCAAGATAATCTTGATAGGAAGCTTAGGCGCCATGATGGAAGGGTTAGATACGTAGCTCGTTAGAAATGGCCCTGCCTTTAATACTTTCAGCATCAATCGTGGCGTCAGATCCGCAGCAAGAGATACACGTTCACGTTGTGTGGGGCCACACGTTGTGACAACAAGAGTTGTGACCGGTGGTCCATAACACAGTTATTGTTTCTTCTAGGTCACACGATGCCTGCGGAAATTCCTATTTGTGATCCCCAAAGACCGTCATAGCAATGATGCGAATGTGGCACGAACCGTAGAATATACCTTCCGACCCGAGTCAATGACACACATATGTACTTATTCAAGTTCTGTCATGGCACAACTCTTATTGTGCATGGCTGGCCACTGAGTTAAGTTGTTCTCGGGTCGATTTCACTGCAAGGATGCTCTGTAAAATGTGAGATAAAACCTATCTTCAAATCGGTTTATCATTGCCTTATTTCCCGAACTGACCTTATAGCACCCTGCGGTCGTCTGTGCGAGTTACATTTGTCACCGAGCAAATGCAAGCACTGACAGATGCACTCAAGGCATTGATGAAAGTGCAAACTTTGATGGGTGAGCCTCCCTGCGCAGGCGAGTCAGTGTATGAACTGCGCCTCTATCTTGAGGTTGGACTAATATGGATGCTTACTAGTTGAGGTTGTGTTGAGGCGCAGAATGATTCGATGACTGGGTGAAAAGTGCCGGTCGAAAGGCACTGACAGCCCGAGTCACCCATCGTACGATGCTACAGGATTTCAATTTTGATTCGAATACTTGAAATGATTGTCACTAGAGTAGGGAACAACGTGAGAGAGAGGTAAATGCAAAAACAAGATGACTACACTGCGAGAGTATCAAGGTAATTGGTGTAACGACTTGATGTTGGACAGTGCTAGCGTACCGTAAAGATCATGCGTTGTAAGAACGAAGTCAATCTTGAATCACAATCTCGTACTCGTAGATCCAGGTCAGTTGGATTGGTGTACACACGATCATGACTCCGAGTCGAAACGGCTGTTATTCATCATGCGTATCAACTTTCATTTCGTCTGTTATTCCCACGCGTTTTCATGTAATTGAATCCCTAATGGAACACAATTTCAAAGGGGACACCCGCCGCACATTTTCCCGATACTTATTGCGATCTCTCCACTCATTTTGGGGCGCAAAACATTATCATCAACCTTACATTCTGTATGTGATCGTCGTCGTTTTTGAACTTTCACCTAACCTGATATACGTGGCTTAACCAGGCGGAGATTGGGCAGGTTCAGTTTACTCCGCGTCCGGATGTCCATCTACATGTGTTGGTGAGTATTCACTCTTCTAGTGAGTATCTCGAAACATTCATCCCACATTGTCAGATTATGTAGACAACAACCCGTCAGCATTCAAGAATGCTTATTTTGAGTTCAACTCGTTGAACATCTACGAATGAAGCTTGCGTTTTACGTTGAATGTCGTACCAGCAGCTACAAAGTATTGTGTGAATTGTATTAACATCACATATGCCCAGAAACCAGAATACTTACTGTTTTGATCCCTAAGCGTGATATAGAGACGAGTTGCAGCAAGGTCGTCATTTTCTACTCGTACACACTTCAGATATATCATCCAACACGATCATCTACTTCAAATTCACAATAACGGTGAGACTCGCCACAGTGTTTCTCGTAGCATTTTAATGTTTGTTTATGAAGCAAATCACATTGGCCCCACACTCCACTATCCTTGCGCGTGTGCCTCGAAGCAAGGGTTCGTTCTCTGGTCACTTCTTGATCAGGACTATATGTACATAATTCTGGTTGCCTCATGGCATCCGTGCTGGCAGTTGCAGCAGAGATGGTATGTTTTACGTCCACTTTCCAACCACCTTCACAATACGAGGTTCTCTACAGATTCTGATACCATTCTGGGGTGCTTGTAATTGTATAGGAACTCGTTATGGCCGTAATATGTGGGTGCGGGAAGCGCCCTTCAGTGCGTTGTTCGTGGTAGCATGCCTACAGTTTACGTTTTCGTGCTCAAACGAGCCGTGATAATTCTCTATGCAATGTACCTTGTGGCGGAGGAACACACGCAAGCAAACGACATGGGCATCCAGTTTAAAAAAACAAGCCAGGTCATACACGCATTGTTCGTTGGCTCAAATTCGAAGAACTAAAGACAGGCATTCCGCAGGCCCACAATTTGACCGTGACTCGTACTCGCAAAGATCTAGAGCCGACTCACATGCACACTCATCATGTTACAGTCATTGGATTCTGGATGTCAGTTACCATATCTAGCTAATGACAATCCTTCTCCCCAGGGTTCTTCATGCACGTAAGCCACGAGGCGAACATGAACGCTTCGATATTCCTTGCATAAGAGCCTGTTCGCGATGTGGCACAGCACAGGGGTTTCTCCCATCTTTTGCATTCTATAAGCCCTCTCATATACTATGTCCTCCAGTACAGAGGTAAGCTCCGGCCAAATTCCCTTGAATTGATTTTTGACAAAAAATACAGCGAAGGAGCGAAAGCGCCGATTCAAGGCGCACGCCAACTCCACCCCCCGTCGACGACGACATGCCCCTCGCCGCCTTTTTCGCTCAATTCGCATCGTTCCCCTTCAACGAGAACCAGTCCTCACACAAGAACTTCGACCGCCTTGTCAAAGTCCTGAAATGTGACGTCAAAGATCCTCAGGGGCGCATAGCACTAGCACGAGAGGGATTCAAAGACGCGCTCGTTCATGAATTCAATGCGCGTTTCGGAACTGATAACAGCATTTCTAACTGGCAGTATTTGTGCGGTGTGTTGAGGGTTGATCCTGTTCCGAATTCTGTCAAGAGGTGTCGCAAGGTTTGTGGATCATTGTTTTAGGCGAGTCGCAGTGGCTGAGTTGCTTGTGTAGTGCGTTTGGGACGTGCATGTCAACCTTGTAGACCTGGTTGATTCACAGAGGACTGGGAAGCCTGTGAAACTGTTTGCATCCTTGGAAGACTTGAGAGCATATACTCATCATACGAGGAACACATTTCCGAAGGAGACTCGTGCCTATCAAGGCGGGTTACTGAGGGCGATAACACGCACGTACTTCAGGAGACCCGGGCACGGGCCCGGGAGTGCGAAGAAAAAGGAAAGAAAGAAGAAACAGAAGGCCGCAAGGGCAGCAGCGGGAGGTGACTGAACGCGTGTTTAGTGGTGAAGACTGACTGGAGTTGTCCCTTTGAACTCGTTTCGCAACATTCGCTTTCGTTATGTTCTCTGTACCAGTAGCATGCGCACTATGACCTGTCAACAGTTTGTAATTTATCTCGCAGATGAAATGCCGCCTATGCCATCTTCCGATATCAACGCCTGCCCCTTACATAGTCACTAAAGCCATTCCTTATAAAATCACAATGATGAAGTGTTGAAGGTAGTCGTATGGATTGTAAGCTACCTGTGCATGTGGTACTTTGCTTGCCCGAATCCCGGACGTTCCATAAGCTGCTTATTAAGCAGTTACCCGCTCTCTGTATCTTGTACCATAATGGTACGAAAAATTCCTGTCGCACAGTCGCAACAAGATACTTCGAACGGCTGCGAACGCCGAACAGTGACTAGTGACTTGTTACGAGTCGTGATCTGAAATGCAACCACGTTTATCCAGTCGAAGTTTGGGTGCATGTGCCATACACGTGTAAGTTATACTGTAACCTGTTACCTGTTCTACTATCTCTCGACAGGTTACACCCGTCTCCCACACGTACGTCTAAAAGCTGGCTTGGCACATGAAATGTTTGTGAGTCCACATGGTTATATAGTTCCAATTTGATCTACATACTGGTCAGGCGCGAAGACTATCCTTTCCTATGATCCTGGAAACAACACGAGGCATTCAAGGACTCCGTAATATGAAACCCCCCCACCTGACTATGTTCTGGACGAGTACGACTTGTAGTACTTGTCACTACAAGATGTCATCGTCCCCTAGGGTGTGCTACAGTTATTTACAGACAGCTAGTTGTCGATTCGGCTCCCAGTGCAGGTTTGCGCATGGCGAAGGGTTCAAAACCACCAATGGTGTAGGTCAATATAGCCACCTTCGATCTCACAGACAGGCTAACACATACATCAGCCGTCACAAACACATACACAGACACCTCTAGACGATTTTTTTGCAACATATCCCGCGTTCGACTACAACTCGTCTGCGTCAGCTTCATTGGAGTTTTACCGGATGTGCGACCAGTTTCGCTGGGATGAGGAAGACAAAGAGAGAGAACAAGCTCACTGTGATTTCAAGGACGCCCTTGTTCAGCAGTTTAACGAGATATATGGCACGGATGTGAATAATCTCACTTCATGGCGCAATTTGTGTCAGATCGTCCGCATTTCACCGATTCCTGACACTCTGGAATCATGCCGCGAGGTAGGAACTTCCCCAACTTGTTCCCGCCTGTGTTATACTGACAAGTATGGTCACACTTTAGGCGGTCAAAGCCACTCATGTCAATATTGTTGACTTGATCCATACAAAAGTGACCGGGAAGCCAGTGACCATATTTGTTTCGGAGGTGAAGCTGAGCAAGTATACCAAAGACGCGGGAAAATTCTTTCCAAGAGATAACGCATATGCTGGTGGTCTCTTAAGGTACCTGCTCCGCCGTATTATGAATCCTAGACAAGAACGCATGTCTAAGTCTGGTCAGAGGACGCAGGCCCGGGGCAGGCGTAGGCATCCCTAGAATCTACGTTCCGATTCTTATGTAACTCTCATCTGCGGGTTGGATTGTGCTACAGAATGCTACAGAGCGGACTGTAGCATTCTGTAGCGAATTCTGTTTCCCTGATGCGCTTGTACATTAGGTGTCGTTGTAAAGCTTCTAGTTGACTTCTCTGTGGTGCGCAAGCACACGACCGGATAATCTTTCAGACATTAACGATGGCAATGACCTTAGAGGTTTCATGTGTGAGCTATGCCAGTGGCCCAGGTTCTCTAGTAGTTGAATGTTGCAGAAGAAACAAGCTTATTCTCGGGAATGAAATCAGAGTCCCCACGACTCCGAAATGAGGAAATTTCCCTTTCTCGCATTCACACCCAGTATGCCTAGGGCACAATATTCTTCCGATATCAACGCCTGCCCCTTACATACTCACCAAAGCCATGGACACTTTCAGTGCCATTTGACCGTCTAGGTTGAAATAAGGCCCGGCATTTCATCCCCATCAAACCATCTTCAACCCCACTGAACCAAAAGGAGAACGAGCTCCTGGTCCTGGATCTGGGCGCGGATAAGGCCTGGAGACTTAATGATCATTTTGACTTTAATTCGGACATTCACATCGACTCCTGAAATCTCGTTGATTCTTATAATAGGAACTACCCTTTACACACTATTATTATTGGAGCTTACCTTAAAGTTCGCTCGCTCTGGTGCCAGCGCCCATCGCACTTCTCACATCTCTCTGTCCGCGCTTTCTGCGTTGCTGGTGCCAGATATCATGACAGCAGTAGAAATTCTGCTACCTAGTAAACCCCGGAACGCACCCTTCCATGAAACATTCATCTCCACGTCGAACAGGAATGACTCAATCAGAGGGTGACACTATTGCGATATTCACTCTCGCCGCTAGAGAAGGCCAGCCAGAACTAGTGAACGAAGTGTGGATAGGTTTGAACCATGTCTGGAGGATGGCATTTAGAAGTGACGACGTCACGAGGTAAGTATCTGAAGTATCTGGTTGTGCGATGGTGGAGAAGGTGGTGGAGTGAAGTTATTTGAAAGGATTGATGATGGCAAGAGACTCGAAGAAATCGCAAAGCTCGGTGCAGATGTCCCACTGGCTTCTTGTTGTATTTAGAGATATCGTGAAGTCACGATGCGAATTTGTGGACATAAGTCTGCTCGCCAGCTGGGGTGACATCAGGTTCATGTCAGTATGTTTGCTATGTAGTATCCGATCAAACGGGCTTTACATAGTACATCGCTCTGATAGGATCATGATAGTGATTTATGATGCATGATGATCGGGGCAGATATAATTGTACTACAGAAAATTCAAATACCGGCTTAACTCAGGCGTAGCTATTGCGGTCGTGACGCGGATGTGACGCGGCACTAACGAGCCTTGACGCGGCCACTGACGTGCCATTCCTATATGTTCTACATTCGACTTCCAGATCAAGTTGGATGAGTTCACGACCATTCCTTTGTTATTTTATTTGCCGTAGGGACATGTACAACTAGGTACATAAGCCAATGGCTATTTTCTTTTCTTATCCTCCCTCTCTGGACCCTTCGAAGTTCGAACCTGTGGAGTTTAACGGGCGGACATTCTTCAGCCGGCAGAGAAGGAACTACAGCTTCGGATAACTCGTTCAGGCTGCAGACTCCAAAGATGTAGTATCAGAGTTATTACTGAATAAGGGCCGTGCTGTCAATCACATAAGTTAAGTTAGATATCTATCGAACGGAGCAGGTAATGTCTTCCTCACTTCAAGTTCACTCTCGCAATAATCTCTTCCAGAAACCCATTCATCAGGAATGCCGAGATACACATTCCATCGCCTGCGATGTTGGCCAGCATCCAAAACCCACTGCTTGTTGCCTCTAGGTACCGTCCTGCTTCTTCGGAATTGAGCCTGACCCTGACGCTTTGATTTTTTTTTGTTTGTTAAAGTTGTCCGATACCTTCTCTTGGAGTCACCGTGCCGTACCATAACCACTTGGATCAGATGTGCCGGTGACTCGGACATCAATGCCGGCGAACTGTAACACAGTCGCTGTAAGAACGTTCCATTGACCTATTGTGTCACACTCCCTCTCACATACACATTGAAGCTTTAATGTATGGCCCTCTTCAACGGTGTACACTACGCCCTTTCATCTTCAATACAAGCGGGACGACACAAGGAACTCTCAGCCTTGCTAGATCTCCATGGTGCAACGAGCGCACCACCACACACTCATATTATTGCGCTTGCTGGATCACACATTGAGGGTGAATACGAGGGATCACTGCATGTAGTGTCGGACATGTGGGTACAACGGTGCGTAGTCCTCGGAAAACTTCAACCGTGAGTCTCCTCTGCCTTTCGCTTCAGTACGAAGGCATAGACGGTCAATATGTCAGCGAGCGGTACTATTCACCTGATCCAATCATGATTTTTTCAGGTGTTGTTGCATGCGCCACTGATGTGAGTGAACTGTCCTTGATCACATTGTATGATATTGATGTTGATTACTAGCTCTCCCAATGGGACCTTGAAGTTCTGTCAGCCGGCATCACCTCATTAGGAGGGCAGTGGCGAACAGCTCTTACCCGGGATGTGACCCATCTCTTCGCATTGCATAAACAGAGCAATAAGGTACTTACTCTCTCTGTTTCATTTACTATGGGACCATTGTTCACTGCGCTAACCCTTATGGCGTAGTATCAAACTGCAATGTATTTTGCACCATATACCGGCATGTTCATCCTTACACCACATTGGTTCGATGATTCAGTCCAACTTGGGTGTCGTATCTCTGAGATTCCTTATTTATGGCCCGATCCTGAGGTCTTGGCTCGGTGACATAGTGTACTATAGGTTACGATGAGCTATGATTGCAGAGGCGAAGGTGACACTATCCGGTAGTAACGAATGAGTATCTGACCTTGTAGAATTGTACTGGTAGGAATATGTATAGAAGTTTATTGACATTCATTACCCACACTGGGGACGCCGCGACCGCGGCAGGACCGTGTCAATTTCACCTGGCCCGCTTAACTCAACCAATAACGCCCTCTTCTCTCAATCGGATGATACTTTCAACGCTCAGCCCTAATTCTCCCAAGATTTCATCTGTATGTGCACCCAAGTCAGGTCCTGCCCATCTGGTCTTCGTATCACAGCCTTCGAGCACAGGAAACACTCTCGGCATCTTGACTTTCCATCCCTCTCCATCCTTACCAACCTCTACGTCCTCCACTGCTCCTCTGGCCTTTACTTGTTCACCTTCTACGATCTCTTTCACGCCTACGACACGTCCGACAGGGACGCCAGCGCCCTCGAGAATGGTCAGAACTTCTTCAACCTGCCGCTGACTGGTCCATGCTGAAATGGCTTCTTCGATTTCACCTTGCCGTGCGACGCGATGGTGATTTTGAGCATATGACGCTCCTATGAGGTCTTCACGGCCTATGGCATGCATAAGTCGTGCGTAGAGGGTATCTCCATTTGCACCGATGATTATATATGTTGGCGAGGTGGGTGTTGATGGTAATGGGAGGCAGGGGTAGGCGTTAGTGGGAACTATGCCGGTCACCGACGAACCTGATGGCCCACGGACCTGTGAATGTGAAAATTGGAAATGATTCAAACGGACGCGCAATGAGCTCCCACCTTGCCTTTACGGTCGTACTCCGGAATTATACCTTCCATCAGGTTCAACATGCTGCAAAGCGTCCAGTGGAGGTCGTGAAAAGTAGTGGATTTTTACCTCTCCATAATGCTCACATCAACCGTCTCACCACCTTGCTCCCCTCGTGAAGCCTTTTTCTGCTTCGACAACAATGCCAGCACCTGTAGAACGTCATGATATGTACATCCAACATCACTAGGCCTCTCACAGTGCCAAACGCTGCGTGTAAACCAGCGACAGAGTCACCAAGACTGATGTTAGGTCTTATTGGAGGACCCGAAAGCAATCCGGTATTCGGGTCTGGCTGTCCATTTATAAAGCGAAATCCCGACTCAGCTTCACATACAGACGCATATCCTGGTCGTGAAGCCCATGGACCTGTTTGACCATATCCGCTGACACGGGTGAAGATCAGGGAAGGATTCTCCTTGTGTAGCTCTTGTGGCCCAAGACCCCATTTTTCCAGGGCTAAAGATACCCTTGAGCATAGTGTAAATATACAAACCACGCTGATGAAACTCACTTCCAGGTTTGAAGTTTTCGATTATGACATCGCTGCTCACAGCCAGCCGCTTCACGATTCTGTAATAGGATATGAAATCGAGACGACAAAACCTTGATCTTCAACGTACTCTCTTCCTTCCTGTTTTCTCAGGTCAATAGCAATGCTCTTCTTATTTCTCGCGAGGCTTCGAAACCAAGGGCTCGTTCCGTCAATATCAAGTTCGCGCCATACTCGTAGCGGGTCTCCAGTTGAAGGTGGCTCAACCTTGATTACATCTGCACCAAAATGTCTATTTACAGTTCTGCGTGATATCAAGTCGCTCTTTCGAGAACTTACCCCAGCAATTGGCCACAGAATGGGCCAGCAATGAGTTGTCCAAGCTCGAGAACCCGGACTCCTGACAGTGGGAGGTTGCCTGAGGGGGTGGGCGGCGCATCTGCAGTAACGGTAGACATTCTGCGCGTTGAACTAGCGCGCAATTGTGTTGTTAGGAAATGCACAAGGCAATGGAAATCCGGAACTCACTGTTGCCTGGCAATGCCACGGGAAATCACACGTCTACTGGAGCTTGTCCTAGTGACCTTGAACGCGCTCGACCAGCTAGGTAGTGTCATGGCCACAAGTATGGTCAAGTCTTGATTTCGGATGTGATTTCGCGTCCTGCAAAGTTGGAATGTGAGCGACTGCTAGTGCGTGAAATCAGGACGTTGGTTGAATGGAAGATCGCTGTTTCGTATGGAAGCCGAAGAATGTCTTCTCGAAGCGGGCCGCCACGGTCGGTGCCTCCGGTATTCATTATGTAAGCATACGAAGACGCCATCTTGCCCGCATCTCTCCGAGTCTATAGCCATCTGCCACTAAATTGCCAGTTATAAAACTCCATGAACTCTTCTGGTCAAGTTCGGCCATAAATATTCAGTGAACGTTCTTCAGCCTCCAGAAAAAGTAGCCCTTGAGCTAAGGGGCAGCCACAGGCAAATATCCTCCAGGTCGCCGAAGAACATGAGTCAAGTTAGAGCTCAATATGCTAAGGTTAAGCTTACAGAAAAGCCAACAAAAATCGTTGGCTATACAATTCTGTTCAGTCACCCTGGGGCACCTGTTAGTCACCAGCAGAAGGATGAATGCTAGAGTTGAGGCCTCGAGGTTGCAGGTGAAGTTCGGTAAAAGAGCAGAGGTGCCATTGTTACATTCAAGTCTGGCGACATACGACAGACGCGGCGCAGCACTGACTTGCCGTGGACATTCAAAATCATCCATGCGCTGAACATACGCGTACTAAAAGGTGAGCCTTCTCATAAGTCATAACTGAATGATTCATCAAAGTATGCCATACAGGCTTTGTGTGTCCGAGAAATGACAGACGCTGATGATGATTTTTGGATAGTTTATCTGTTGCATGTTTTGGGTCAAGGAATGTGTGCGTATAGGTACCGGACGCTCCTGGCTAGTTGTTTGGTGAGCTCTGCACGTTCTTCAGGAAGAAACGCATTGCGACGGTAAGTTTCCTCCCGGTTTCACAATTCAAGTCGCACGACTCCTTCAATTTGTCTTCGCGGTGGGTTCCTCACAGTTAAATATTGCAGCAAGTCAACACGACGTCGGCAATTAGCCTCCGGAGTGAATTGTAGGGAGAAGATCCATAGGCATCAGCGGGTTTGGCCGTGGATGCACACTCGCGTACATCTGCTGCGAGTGATACATTTGTGCACTCCACGACTTCCCCGCCACCCCGGATCATCGATGCGTATTCTTCGGTGGCAAGCAATCGTTCTTTTGGTTCAAAAAGATTAGGAAGGTCCGCAGAGAATCTAGAACATCAAGTTTTGACACCAAAAATAACACAGTCCTGGGCGATTTCATAATAATGCCTCGTGCATGCATGACGTGTGATGGTTTCCAGGTCTGTTCCTCGTGTCGTTTTAATGCGAATGAAGTGTTACGAAATGTACACCGCATGTGCACAGCAGGTATCAAATTTTCAAACATCTTCCATGCGATACGGACAGATTTAATATTAAACATATCCAAACGAACACGAATAAACTCTTGATTATAAGGCAGATCATAAAATATTAATGAATCGGTAAGCAACTGCGCAACGTGAGACTAAGTAAATCCGTGGTAGACGGTCGATACTAAGAGCAAGGAGAAAGCGGCAATAATAGACCTGATAACAGAAAAAGCATGGGGCTAGCGGTGATACAACACAAGGAATTAAAGATGCGGAAGCCTAGATCCTACCCCTCTTCAACCTCAAATGTACCTCACAAATATGACGCCATATGCAGTCGCGTCGCATGACGCGAACCGCGGGGTCATCGCGGCTGTGGTAATCGCAACCCTCCCAGTGGCATTCTATTTGTGCAATCCTTGGTCCAGAAAGATGAACGATCTTACAGTGCGATTCTAATGCCTTCAGTGTTCCTATAAATCCGCAGTGTATAGCGGCGTCGCTCAGCCATTGGCAGGACATGAGGGGAGACGAGGGATGGCTATGCAGCGGGGACGGAAAGGGCTGATTGATTGGTGGCTGGTTTAAAGGGTAGCCCATTTGTTCGCCATGAACTGCATGGGGCTGCATCACAAATGAAAAGTGTGAAGATTCTGCAGCCTGTGGTGGAGGTATCACAGGCGTGAGGGGTAGGCTTAAAGGTCCTGGCTGAGGGACGGTATGAGTCTGCCACTGATGTGGTGAGGTATTGTACGGCGAAAAATCGGAGGTGGACATATTAGGGTCAAAGACGAAAGGCGGATTATTGGTTATGGTATATTGCGAGGAAATGATGGAGTGCGAAGAGGGGCCATTTGGATACACCCTGTGTATGAGAGTGATTATGAGAAAACAGCTACTTAGACATGGTAACGAGGAACATACTTTTGGGATGTCGGTGGGGAAAAGTAGCCGCTTCCTATCGCAGGAGAAGAAGAGTGCCCGATACTGGCACCTCCTAACACCGGATTATGGTACTGGGTGCTGTGAAGGGTCGATACATTATTCCAGGAGTCATAATTCGGAAGCATATTAGTGGTAGTACAGTAGTCAATTTGTGGCGGTGGTATGGCTAAGACCTGGGAAATGGATGTGGAAACAGGTTGTGTTGAGTATTGACCCTGTGTGAAGTTGCGACGGTTGTGGTCAGCGCTACTTGGTGAATCGCCTGACATCGGAGGGCCAACAGACGGTTGAGTGCGATGACTAGTCACAGTGTTATATCTCTGTAAGGAAGAGAAGGAGCAGACTAACATGGAGCTTGACATCTGATGACTTGTTGTGTTTGAACGTGACCTTGAGGTCTCTAGCTTTGAGCGGGTCAGTTTCAAAAAGTCGGTGACAGAAAATACATCCTACCATGTGGTTGGCGCCGAGGTGGCTGCCGAGTGGGTTTACGAAGGTACAATGAAGGTCGTCGTCGAGGACGTCCTGATTTTCCGCGAGTTGATCTGGCATGGGTGTGCTAAATGATAGGGCGATAAGAGCGAGCAATGGTTGCGTGGTATACGACCTACCTGTTCCAGTAAAAATTCATCCAGGGAATGGGGGAGATGATGTATGCCTTGCGGTCCTTAAATGATCATCTTTGAACGGTAGGGGAAAGAGGAAAGTTCGGGTAAGTAAAAAAGATTTATATTAGCAGGCCATGGTAAACCAAGCGGCACGGCGTTGCTTACATAGCGACAAAATGTACACCGATAAGTCCCCAATAAGTTCCCTGCGGTTTGCGACCTGCTGATATCTCTCCAATATGTCAGCGCCGTAGCCAAGCACGGGCACGAGTCCATGAAATGTGGAATTGCTGTGATCTCATGCCGATGGCTTTAACGAAAGAAGGCATCCATAACAAGTAAGCGTGACCAGGTATTGAGATGATCATGCACTATACCGTACTTCACTTAGTATATTTGCAATACGACGAGGGATGAATGCCGGCATGGCTGTATGCCATATTCGATGTAAGATGCACTCGAGGCTTGAAGAAGGCGTCCACAACAAGCATGTGCGACCAGCTGTTCGGTGCGGTATCCGAATATCTCGAGCGCAAGTAATCGCGCGCGAAGGGGGACACGGCTGTAATTCGAGAAAATCCGAGGGTCTATGATAGATATAAGTGCAAGCAAATCTGGCGTATTTAGATAAGTTGTTACGATTCATCGAGCCCAGGCAGAACTTACTGCAATACTTTTATGGTAGTACGGTGCACGTACTGTAGCCCTGCGTTTTCGTGGTAAGCAGAAGTTCTAGTTCTGCCACAGTCTTTTCCTGAACTCAGAGCCCGAACCGTGACAACTGCGTGGGATTTTGAACCTGAACGTTTGAACTACCGAGTCTAGCTGTCCTGATATCAGTTGAAGGAGAGTGCAATGGATGCCGCACCAACGCCGACCGGTGATGTGCTGGATTTGTAAAGCTGTACTATCTTGGAATTCAGCGTCGACCATGACATCCATGATGGTGATGGTCCAAATATTGGTGGAAGGCACTGATTCATCTCCGTGAAACATCTGTTCGTGCGGCCAACTTGCGGCCAACTGATACCCTCCCAGCTGGGTTGTTTACGAGTTTATCTCCACCTAGGTCCAGGACTATGGCACAACTAGCGATTTCGGAAATACTGCGTCCATAAAAGGCATCGAAGTTCACAAGTGGAGACTACATGGTTACTGGGTGTGGACATCGAGTCAATGATCTGCAGCGTGAGTTGGTTATTTCCGAAACTACAAAGCACCGACTTACATAATGCACTGCAAAGTTCTTGCGAGGACTCAGACTTAACCTTTTTTGCACATAGCCTCGAGGACTCCGGTATCACGATAGTATCGTTAGCTCTCCGTATATGTATCACACCTTGACATCGTGTGCCCTCGGAGTCTGACACGGATCAGAAGCCAAGCCGTTGCAAAGAGGGTGCTGCGCTTTTGCCCAAACTGGATAGCCTGGCAGCCTTCTTGAAGTATGTAACATGCTATGCTTTCATGACGTGCCACCATTTGTTTCTCTTCCGTCTATCACCCGGTGCGTTCCTAATGACGTTGATGACCCTTTTCTACTTGATGAAAGGGTCAGTTTTATTTTAGGGCTTCGGATCTGTCTTCCGAATTCATCGAAGTTACCCCAGCGCCCAACCTTGTCCCACCCTTTCATTCTATTTAGCATTTACTGCCCCACAAGCCACTGATTTATCCCGAGGAGCGGAACAAACTCGATGATGGAAAGAATTGTAAGGCTTCTGATCGGATCCCCCGTGAATTCCTTGTCCTGGATCTTATGTGAAGAAGCCGAGAAGCCATTCAAGTGGCCTACTAAATCAACCCAACTCTATTAATGATCTATGCTGCAATACTTTTTCTCGAGGACTATCATGATATCGATGCTGCAGATGCTGGCAAACACCGCCTGTTGCCTCTTCCATCGGAGCCTCCCTTCCACCGTTCCAAGTCAGCAATGGAATTAGCACATCTGTTGGTGGAAAGGGTTATAGTGAGCGTCATCTTGATAAATAGCACCAAATTTCTATGATGTTAGTCTTCGTTGGAGCAGCTCGTTTTGGTCGAACAACCGTGACCAGGTACAGCTAGACTCTTTCCAGAAGTTCGGTTCGAGATCACTTTGATGTAGTATGGAAAGCAGGATAAGTACATGGCCCTGGATAGCCGTGCTCGTTTTTCGTGTTTATTAGGCAATAGGACTTCGAACACTCCCTCATGGATGTCGTGTATCTCGGTCATACATGCGCATTAGAGACGAATGCGAAAGACATTCTCAATGATTAGCTGGCTATATACTTCTTATGTGACTGACCCCCAACCACACTTCGGCACAGCCTTATGGTACAAAGAACACTTTGCCGAGCGTAGCTGTAGGACCCACACCGAGTCCGCAAACGGATTGGAGCAAACTGGCGCGGAAGAACTATAAACTTGAAGTTTTCATAGCATGATCCCGCCCAAGATCTTCAACCTTGCTAACTCACTCAGGCTGACCTCGCTTATCAGATTTCAAATCTGAGTTGACGAAATGTTTGTTAAGTATTCGTAGAGCGGGAAAATACCTGAGATATAATGCTATATGTTGCTGTGATGTGTTACACCTCCTCTGTGCCATGGCTCTGTCTCAAGAGATCAGAATGCGTATTGTTGTCTTGCGCTACGAACAGCACAGAACAGCAGCAGACATTGCTGAGATTGTCGGATGTACCGAACGAACTGAGACTATAACACCCTCCGTCCGTATCGTGACTTTGGCCAAGCAAACAACCCATTTCGTACTGTGACAAATATATACAAACACATGTTGCGCGGTTTTGCAACTGAAAATCTTTATCCAAACGACTGTATCCAAACGAGGTTCTTACGGTGCACGGAGTCCCAATCTTGGGTAATGTCAGTGACAAAACGAGCTGTACTTTAATGCTATTCCTCGAATAACTCAACATTATGCGAATTCAATGGCTTCGGCGACAACCCACGCAAAAACATGTATATGGGGTTGTACCTGGCGACTTCAAAAAACCTCGATGACCATCAAACTTTCATACTGTGTTAATGCGGTGAGGAACGGCCGACAAAGGTACTATGCAGATCAATCTGAATTCATTGCAAAGGCACAACAACAGGTCTTCCCGTGATCGCTCAAGCTTCAAGAAGGAACCACAGTTTTATTGTCTCCCTCATGAAGCGGACATGACAACTGTTTTTCGGTGTCTTAAAACAGCTTCTAACAGGTGGTGATTCGAAATCGCCTATTTCGCACCGGTCACTATCTGATCACCGATGTACCAGGCGAATCGGACCATTCACTAGTTCCGTCAGCGATTCTTTCCGTCGGTGTAATGTGAAGATAACTGGGTGCCCAGCATCTACGACCCCAAAGGCTTTCGGTCCGGAGGTCACAAGTTACATGCACGCCGCTGTCACTAATCGAGGTTCGCAGTGCGAACGTTGCAACGTTGAACGTTCAACACTTTCATGTTAGAACATTGGTTTGCTTATGCTCGACAGAATGGGATACCTAAATGTGGGTAGTAGCCTATGCCATTCAAATACTAAATTGAGGTCTCCCCGAAGCCCGGGCGATACTTGGTCTCGGAAGTCACCCCATTCCTTGTACTTGTATGAACCACTAATGTGCTATGATCTCACTGAGTCTATCTCAATCAGTGCGAGTTGTCAAGGCCATAATCTCTGTGGTCTTCTGGATAGTAATATTACTGGTGGCGGCACTAATTTTCTTATATCCGTCATATGATGATTGAGCTCTGCGATGATCGGCAAAACAGTGTTTGGTGCTTAGGATATGCCACTCCGCGCGCATGAGTTTATATACGACTATCATGTATTTCCCCTTCAGCGCAATCCATAGTTCTTGTGACACAACAAATTGAAAACACTAGGCCCCAGCCCCCTCAATCACAATCCTCGCACCTTGATTCGTGCGGAATCCTCAGATCTTCCACATTTATGACCTCTTGGAATAAGGTACTTCTCCAGCAGGAGTAGTGCAGGTACGTATTCTGATAGCTTAGTTGGCAGAAGGGTAGAGCCTTCGGCGGTAGCGTTCGTCATCATATGCCACTGTTGAAGCCACACACCAGCTTCTGTCTTGTGCAGACACAATACCAGCCGCGCCAGTCCACTGCGCATGGCCACACATATCTCTGCGCTTAACACTGCTTTGCAGCACAGATCAGCCCCTGCAAGCGGCGTAGCAGACTCACCGTCAATCCTGCTGCACCACATCCGGGTCCGAATCTGCCAGCCAGTGCGTCACGCACTGCAGCCATCTGATGAGATCCACTTGCCACATCCGACTAGGCAGCCCCATTCTTGAAGCCAGACAACTACCACACATGCTGAGGTTGTGCAGAGACGGATGCAGCCCATCATATACCTGGGCACTGGTCTCACTGATCCTGCTCATTGATCCAGACGAGGAGTAGCTCGAACAAGCCATTGAACTCGGGGGTTGCCAACAGTCACGCCGAGTTTCGTGCCATGTTCGAAAGTGGACATTTGCAATGCGAAGGTCCCCACTAGCCGCCGCTCCTGCCACAATTCGGCTAGAAAATTTATCCGGGCCGTGGCGGCGTGGCGGCTTGAGCTTCGCAGATACTGATACCGCGGACGGGCCGCTGACATTGAAAAACATAAGTATTATGCCCCAGAAGCAGATCTAGAGTCGCCACTTCTGCCGCTTAACAAAAGTTTCAAGGCGCTACACGTGAGGCTATGTGTATGATAATGGTCACCCGGAAACACCATTAGAACGTGCACACACCCCACTATCTATCGTCCTGCTCCAATCATAGACTCAATGGCCTGCCAAACACATCATTCAATCCGTCAACCGGCGCTTATCTCATGGCTTCTTTCTCGCATCCCGGTAGGGCAGCATGATGCTGCCTCGATCTCATCAAGTGATGTGGATTCAGGACCTGCAAGATCATCATCGATGTCCTGAGTCTGAGATGCGAGTGGTGCCCACGCAAAATTGGCCTCTAGATTGGCAGCTACATCGACGTGGATACCTGGCTGTGGACTGCTGTGTATGTGTACATGATGTTGATGAATTGGTTTTCCATTAGCCACGACCCTCTAATGATTATAGTGACGAATATTCGCTCGAGTCTTTGTCGGTGCCTCAAACGTGTCTACCAAGAGATTGCAGCGCTTCAGAGACTGACTGCTACCCATATTCGAGAAGAAGCGATCGATGTCGACGACATGGGGAACAATGCATAAGAAGGTGGTCACCAGTGGAGATGCCAGCCTGATTCTCGATAGAGGGAAGGAACTTTCCTCCGGTTTCTGGCAGAATGGCAGACTTCTGCCCACAACACTCCGACTCAAATCTAGTCTTGCAGAAGTCTCTGCCGAATTATTTTGTACCACTACCATCTGTTTGGAAGTCGACAAGTGCTGATGTCGACAATTGGCACGTATCTCAATTGTTACGGCTTGTTTTGGACTTCATAACCATATCGATAGACAGGTATTGATCGATTGATCCTCGATCCTCGGTGGTCTGCAGGTATATGAGCCGAACATTTGTGTCAAGTACTTTGGCTCATGGGCGAGCTCTGCACATTCTTCAGTGGAAGAAACACCGCGTGAGCTTAAGTCATGAGGAACTCGAAATTGAGCAGCGTTGGTCTCTTTCGATTTTTTCATGACCGCCAATAATATAACAGTGAGTCTTTGCAGCAAGCTCTCGTTCCCAGGGTGCCAGGAGAAGAACTACATGTATCGGAAATCTTGGCTGCCAGATAGATGCACATGTACACGTATTGCGAGTGATAACACAGTGGCGGTTGACGGCATGGATCAGCAACATGACGTCTTCGACCATATAAAGTTTTTAAAAAACAAAAAACAATAAGGGATGGATCAGATCTCAGACATGGAAACATGCTGTGTATAGCGTTTGCTACCTCAAGGAGGACATTCCGATCAGTCGCAGTAGGTGAGTCACGGTCGGAGACATGAGGTCCATAACTGCCATAATATGTCCAATGGGGGAAGTAACTTGCGAACTTCTTAAAGTCTTGGGGATATGGAGTGATTTTTTCGCGGTGATCTCCGTGTTCCATGGCAAGGCGGACCTGTGGAGATATGGATAGATGTACCTAGACTTGGCTACGCTAGTCTAAGATGGGTCCCATGTTTTTTGCTGTGCCCAATCGCAATTTTCTGTCCTTGAGAGATTACGATGTTCGAGTGATCGGAGCCTATGGCTTGAAGATGGCCGCTGTGCAGATCGTTGGTTGAATGTCAGGAATGTCCATTCTATACATTTACGGTGCGTTGGTCCAATATTCTTCTGAAAATCAGAGACTCTGGCATTAAATCAACACGCAAGTCATTTTATGTGCGCAACGTCTCAAATGTGAGATAGTTTCGAGCTCTTGCTCGGTTTTCAACTACAAACTAAAATTTTCTCCGTGTTCAGAAGCTATGCAAACGAAACGAAAGCAAAGTGGATTTTGGTAGATGACAAGCGTAAAGAGCGAGTGGGCGATAACGCATCCATTGAACGAGATAGGATAGTGTGGCTGGAATCGAAGGAATGTAAAGTAGTAAGACCAGCATGTTTGATGAATGGGAGCGAGTGGACGATAACGCATCTATTGGACGAGATAGGATATTGTGGCTGGAATCGAAGGAATGTAAAGTAGTAAGACCAGTATTTTTGATGAATGGGAGCGAGTGGACGGTAACGCATCTATTGGACGAGATAGGATAGTGTGGCTGGAATTGAAGGAATGTAGAGTAGTAAGACCAGCATTTTGATGAATGGGGAGCGAGCGGAGGACAATGCATCTATCAAACGAGATAGCATGGCGTGGCTGGAATTGAAGGAATGCGAAATAGTAAGACCAAATTCAATATGCAGAGAAGTCGTACATACCTACGCGTCCCTCTTCATAAATAGATGTTTCTCGCAGGTATGGCGCCATATTGAGTCGCGCCGCATGACACGGACTGTGGGGTCACCACGCTTGGTGTAGTTGCAATTTTGCCATTCGCATGCAATCGGCACTTCCTTGGGGCCAGCAAAATGACTGGCCCCACAATGGGCTCTGAAGTCTTGTAGATTCCCTGTAGCAAACGTGCATGGTATGCCCTCGCATACCCATCCGCAGTACAGCAGCAGAGGGGAAAAGAAAATATCGCTTTGCAGCGGGACTGGAGTTGGCCCAGCTGAAGGCGAAGGTGATATGAACGGAGGTGTGGCAAAGTACCACTGATAGTCATTGTATTCGCCGATGTTTTCCAGGGCGTTCAGTGACATCTTCGGAACGATCAGTGTGAGGTGACAAATGCGGAATCGACGTCACCAACAAAGAGGTCCTCATCATCGAGTTGTCTCTGCATTTTTTTTATCAAGGAGGGACGAGGCAGGTAGTGTCGAACGTTATCAGGACCACAAGTGTCTGGTATTTATGGAGAAATCCGTGGTTAAAGAAGGCCCGCGCGAGAATACGTACTCCTCTGTCCTTGATTTTCGTGCGCGAGGTAAAAAAATCATCGGTGAATAGGAAATTTGTCATGGTCAGGCGAGCAATGGCGGTGTGGCTCAGATCGAAAATCTCCGAACTGATTAGATGGCCAATACGTAGCTTGATAGTAATTGCCATGATCTGCATTCCCCGGAGGCTTAGGAAGAAATGCCGCTTCCTGAATTTCAACTTTGCTAAAACATCAAAAATTACGGACAACCTCGTTCTGGCCATTGCAGCGGGTTCGTTCCCACAGTGATTGAGGGCGAGGCCTCCGTAGATATCGATCGTTCTGATAGAGATAGATAAGAATCAACAGGACGGACACCGAAGAACACAGCTGACGACTGGGCATACCCTGTTCGTTGTGCTTAAGCTTGTGGGTAATTGTTAGCGTTGTTTTATTCCATATATATACGACTCGTATCGACACCGGTTGACACTGGTTCGAGCTGATGGTACGCAGTGTTCTTGTTTGGCTGGTTGCTAAGGCTCAGGCTCCGCTTTGGGGCCCGTCTTCAGAGCCTAAGTATATGACGAGATCTTGATTGTGTTCTATCTAACGGCGCCGGAAAATAGAACTAGTAGGTTAGGGACTCGATGCAGGGAGGTTTATGGCTATGGCAACATGAAACTAAAATTGGCCCGACACAGGATTGTAGGGGGATTGTCTGATGTGACTCACCCAGCTCAGAATCGATTTCTAGGATCAAGACAGGACTGCTGGAATTATGGAACAAGTCATGAATGAAGAGCATGCACGAACGTGCACGACATGACTCACCTAAGCTGTCAAATCTATCTCCACCGCCTCCTCATAGCACCCACATCGTGAAACTTTATTTCTCTGACCCGATTTGTCTGACGGCGGAGAACATGGAGGCACAAACGTTGATAAAAATAGAGCCCTCCGAGTCACAATACAGGAATGTATGTGCTGTAGCAATACGTATTGGGATAAGAAGCATACTTGCGGTGTATGTTTAGTAAAATGAATCACGGTGCCAGAAAGCGAGCGAAGCGTTCATCCAGGTAGAACGTCACCAAAGTGTAGTCAAAACCACCAGATTTGTATGAGGGGATGTCGTACAAAAGTCCAGAACAATGTCAAACGCGCTCCGCACGCAATGTCTATTTCTTCCGCAGTGTCCGAGACCAAGGGGACACAAGGTTAGGTTGCGAGGAGACGGGGACAGCCAAGGAACAACAACAGATCAAAACACGTTGTTAATGAGAATAAGGCCTTATTGTCTACCGTGACAGCGTGTTTCCTATGTGCTTCAGAGTGTCCAGGATGAGGGGAAGAAGCGAAGATATTAACAATAGATATTTGCTAGCATTTAGCCTACGTGCACTCTATCATGATGATACTCAGCTCGAGGTGTCACGTGGTCACTGAGTTACCGCATGCTAATGCCCCAACTTTGACGGTTCGATTTTTCATGACATGTGCTTGGCTAGTCATTGCAACGTCGGCCATTGAAATGGATGACTTCCTGCAGGCAAAGTCATATATAAGTCGCGAAGCGGTAAGTATATACTAAGTGGCAGAGATTGGCTCTTTTGAACCGTGAGAACAAATTTCCTGAGAAACCTGCAAAGTTGCGGGCACTTTGTCAGTTTTACCTCTCACACCCATGCTATTACCATACCTTTGCTTGTTCTACCATCTACTGATATCCTATCAGTATTATGATCAGAGGCACGAAGTCACGGGGTTGTCCAATACCCATATCGATCGATATTCTCTGCCACTCGGGCTGAGTCCATGGTCCATTCATGGATCAATCCGAACTTTGTGAACGTTGGCGAGAGCACAATTACCTCACCGCCCGAACACACGCTCAGCCACCGCTTCTGAGTTGTAGCGTTCTGACAGGCAACGCTACAGGTTTCAAGTTTTCCCGCATACTCGGAAATGTGCGTAAAGGGATTGCATAACGTAAGTAGCATTTCTTTCGGCGATCATCGATCAGTACAATTCTCCTACGTTATCTGATGAAGCCATTGTATCAATTTGGCACTTGCCGGACACTTGACACGGGGTCTTTATACGCTCGTGCATGATCCATTCTTATTCATATTATGAGTGAGAATTTATCTTCTCTCTGAATTTGCTTGCTTTCCTATTTACTACTTCACTTCCAAACGTACCTTGATAACTTAATGCTGACAGTCGTGTGACACTTTAGGATCAAGATCAAAGGTCTCGGGGCTGGATTACATCAATTTGTTCGCAATGATTTTTGCGTTATAGAGCATCTACCAAAATGACATGTTTGCATTCGGTCAGCTTACAACATCCGCGGGCCTAATCAAATTCCCAATGAGATCTAGCCAGTGTCAATATTGATGGCATGATGTTGGAGTAATTTGTTCTAAACGAGTGGTCATAAATGGTTGGTTCCGCATGTATCCGCCTTCTCGTCTTCTACATTTGGGTAGGTGTTACAAACTTTTGAGAGCCCGAGCCCATTGGTAAATAGGACCGCGGAAAATGTTCGTGAGATCATCAAGATAGCGCACACCCAAGATATATCAGAATATCCCAGCAAGGCTCTCCTCGTCCACTGCCATGTTTTTCAATATATCTCTGGCTTCTCTCGCAGGTCGTGATATAGTGGAGCGTTCGTTGGCAGCACTTTCTTTGACTTTCAGAGCCACACTGCGCAAGAGCCCCAGTTTAGCGAACAGCGTGGCCGCTGGGTCTAGGTAGTCGTCCGAATCGGGAGATAGGACAGCAACGATGGCATGCGATGCGAGGGCCGATGGAGGTGTTCCAGATATCAGGTATGCACTGGTGATGATGATCAATACGTGAAACCAAATGGAGGCGTTCTTTTCACTTACTTGACAATCGGCTTCAGTGATTGCGGATTTGTTGACAATGAGGCTATCAATGCTGCTGTTGCCTGAACGTAGTGATCTAGAGATTCGTTAGCAAATGCACGAGACCAACCCCAGTTCTCAATAAAACTCACCCTCGTGTGATTCTCGGAATGCGTCATGGACAAGTTCAATGCACGATTCCCTAGCCTTATCTCCAATACCACCGTGCGCGGAAGAACTCTTCACGACGTTCGATAATGCAAGGACAAAGCTAGCAGCAATCTCCTCCTCGCTTGATCTTGCACCAGCGATGAGCTCCGTAACAACAGGATCAACTCTTGGCTGGCTGTGCATGAGGATACCCAAAGCATCTGCTGCACGAGTTCGTACAACGGTAGAAGATGTGTCGCTAACTGCCTTCACAAACGTGCGCTGAAGCTGAGGGAAGAACGGTTTAACATGACCGGGAATTTTCTCAAGCATGGAGGCCAGTGCACTGAGGATGGCGGTCTTCACACCAGGAGGATATGTGGTGGCTTGCGTTGCAACGCGAATGAGGGGCCCAGTGAATGGCACCACGAAAGGTTTGATAGCAGACTCCTCCGTCCGTTCCACCAAGTCTCCGATAGCATATGCTGCATTCTCGCGTTGTTCGTTGCTGCCATTCGTGAGACCAGCAATAATGATAGGGACGGTGGGTGCGACTCCCTTTTGCAGACTGAATCCAGGAACATATCGGCCAGGTGCACCAGTGCTCTCGATCGTCCGGCGCAGAGGGACCACGAGGGACTCCAGTTCATCCTTTGGCACTGACTTGACGAATACATCAAATGCCTGCCAAGCCGCAGTATGGACTGGAACCTCTTGGTCATCGAAGAGAGACACAAGTTGTCGGACCCAGTCAACGCGGTATAACGACGAGTCTAGGTCAGATTCCTCGCAGAACACTGCAAAGAGATTACAGGAGCTAATCCGCCGTTTTGGTGCATCACTCTTGGCCCTGAGCCAGAAGACGATAAGTAAATATGCAAGCTTACAGAGCAGGAGCAACTGACCATCCAAGAAAGAGTAACATCAAGGTGTTCAAACCTTCTGGGTCTTCTATTGAGGCTAGAAGTGCGCGCACAGCCTCGTCAATAGCGTCCCGTAGTTCATCATCTTGGTCTTCTTCCAAAACCTTCACTAATGCTCCAAGGATGACAATAAGGCGCTTGCTCAAGGCATGCCCAGCAACGGTAACAAGAGACGCTAAAGCTCTAGCATTGAAAACCGTCATAGGTGTGGCAATCAAGGTCGGGATGAGAACAGGGAACACAGTAGACGCCCGGACCTTGAATTGGGTGAGTACATCCTTGTTCACAAACAAAAAGGACGATACATACCGACATAACCTCCCTCAAAGCTTGAAGTGCAGTGTCTGAACTTGCACCAGGCTGGCGTAGAGCCTCCAACAAAGTAGGGATCGTCTGGTCAATCGCTTTTGCACCGAGATGCTCTTGGAGCACATCGAATGCCTTTGCAGCCGCCGAACGTACACTAGCGTCGTCATCCACTAGAGAGGCACGGACCATGTTAATGATTTCGTTTTCATGGCCATCACGTTGTGCATCGGATGTGCTCTCGCTGAATGCCGTGAGACACTACGAAAGGGGAGAAAAGAAGCGTTCTTACATTACATCGCACAGCATAAGGCAAACACCTTCGCGGGTACGAATATCAGGAGAATGCGACTTGGTATGAAGAATTGAGAAAATTTCGCCCAGAACCTTCTCGCCGGACTTGCGGCTTAGCTCTGCCGTGGTACGACTGGCAGTCTTGAACAAAGAGATGAACGAAGAAATATTTAATTATGCCGTGTAAACTTACCTCTTGCTGTTCGAACTCTTCGCTGGAATACAGTTTCACTAACTGACCAACAAGCTCCGGGAGAATTTCGCGTACTATGTCGTCATCATCAATTGCA